CCTCGTGCATTTGGACTGCAACCTCCTCGCCCAGAAGGGATTGAAACGTGCGAGCCAGGGTTGGCAGGGGACTTGGACCCACAGGGCTACCCATGAGGTAGTACGCAGATTCGTGATTGCAGACTGCATACCGCAGTGCTTCTGTGATAGCAGCGCGTAAACTGCCCATGCCGGAGGTTGTGCGAGTCGTCAGAACCTTAGCGCCGAGCAACTTCATCTCGAGCACGTCCTGCTCCTGGACACTAGCGTCATCTGCACCCATGACAATCACACAGCGCAACCCCAGACGTACGCACGTTGCAGCGGTGAAGTTTCCATGTTTGGCCGAGGCGCAATCCGTGACAATCTCAGAGCGACCCATCCGGCGAGCTAGCAGGAGCTGGCCAATGATGTTGCGGGTCTTGTGGCTGCCATATTCGTTTTTGTCCTCCCGTTTCAGCCAGATGGTAGCCCCTCCTGCTAGCCTGGTTAACTTCCCGGCCATGTGCAGTGGTGTGATCTGGGCACGCTGGAACATGGCATATTCTTCCCAGAACGAAGGGTCTGAGACGGTGGCCTCGAAGAATGATGTCAGCTCGTAGAGGAATCCCATTATTGATTCAGGGGCAAACCGGCCCCCATAGGAACCATAGCCATCGAATGTAACCTGTGGGGCCCGCAGACTGCCATCTAGCTGCAGGATGGGGGTATACGGTGTGATGATGTTCAATCTCGATGTGGAGGTAGTCTTGGCAGGCGTGCTGGGGGGCGTGGAAGTGTTGCCAATGCTGGTTGACACTGTGGTGGCTCTGCTTTCGCCATCTGAGGCAATGGTTGACTCGGTTTGTGTGCTATTGCAGCTCGAGGGAGAAACTGAACGTGCCCTGGGCTGTACGCTGCCAAGCTCCGGGCAGGGACTAGGAACTCGCGCTTGAGCAATCGTTCTGCCAGCGGGTCTCAAGCGAATGGGAACCTCCACATTTTCTGTGCCATGTGTCGTAGAGTCAGTGGCTTCACATGATCTGGAAGATGAAAAGCAAAGAAAACGGCGCAGAGAGCGAAGCATGATGCTTTTTTTTTATCAGATGAAAGTAGAAGTTGAGTTAATGTCTCGGTAAAGTGGTTGACAAGCAAATAATGAACCACAAAAGACAAAAGAATGGATTTGAGGTTTGACTATTCCAGACCATGCCATGGAAGTTAGGGTATGGTACCAGTGGGCGAGAGGTGCATTAAGTACAATGTCTATGGAAGTTCCTGCCTTAGGTCCATATGTGGGCATCTTTCAGGTCGTCAGCCCAATTAAACAGAAAGTTCAATCTAGTCGCACTGCCTTCCTTGGCCTGCTAGGATATCTGACTAGCTACTCTAGCTTCTTTCACCTATGAGTGGAGAACATTTGGCAATGTAAGTATATGACCGGTATTGTGAGCTCACGTATGGACTAGTTGGACCTTAAACAAGTAGTACAGAAAATTTATATGCAGAGTGTAAACATCATTGATCTATTCATACAGAGGAATGATATGCTACATAGCGTCAAACTCCTTTCCGAACTGAGGATATAACAGGCTATGCAGGGAAAAGCTTTCAGTATCTCCTGAATGGAAAGCAAAATAATATCAGATTAAATTAGGCGTAGTTATCGCTTTTTCTATACGTAGGAACTCTGTATGTTGTACATCATAAATCTATGTAAAAGATGGTTACGGGAATCAGGGCTCACCGACATCACTCCCACTAGCAGCAAACGCACCCAATCATCATATTTCCGAGGTCTATTGCTTCCTACTCTGTATAGTCTTTGTTCAAAAACTTTCTATCAAGAGCCAGGCTAGGATACTCTTTACAAAGTCAGAATAGTTGAACCGCCATTCCAAGTAGGGGTAACCGAAATCCTTCTAGATGCAATGAGCCGCAGCGGTGACAGCAGTGGGACTCAATCCCCATTGAAGCGCCAATAATGTACTAAATCCCAATCTAGTGTGATCAGATTCCACATCGCAATTGAGGCGTACCCCTTTTCAGTGATCCAACTCCTTTGGCATCAAAGCTCATCATGTTGATTGTCAATGGAATTGGAGGCCTCCCGAGGCAGAATGCTATATATGTCGTGTTACAGCATCTGCACTATCCCAATAGTCTTGTTGGTGTTTCACAAAGCGAGTCTTATCTCAGGCCAAATTCAAATCCATGTGATTCTTTCCAGCTCCACGTGTGCCCGTTGCTATGTCTTTCAGACTTGATACAATGATTACTTCTTAAAAATGAGACATTCCGAGAGGTACAGGGGTATAGATTTGACAGGTCATATTTTCCCATCATATACTTCGGTGCCAATTGGCTTGTGGGTCCTATTCATTCATTCTCTTACAGCCACCCGAGGACATCTTTCAACTACACTTTCTTCGTTCTTTGAACAAACTTTACTTTTTCGACTAGTACAGAATGCAGTATAATTCGGAAATTGTTGGGAAAATTGCCAGCTCTCAATGGAAAATACAACCCAGCTTTATTATTGGCACATTATAACTAGAATATAGTCTGTGAAAATGACGAAAATGACTACTTTTAGCGCAAGAAACGGCATTTTTAATCGTAATAAAGGTCAGCCCCTTGACTGCCCACCGCCTATTAGTTCTCTTACAGAGGACATTATAGGAAAGCACTTTTTGTTATCCTCATAGCTGAGCAGGTCAATATTGGGCATAACGCTTAGGATCTCATGCACTCATTTTAATCTAGCCTGAAAGTTTAGGTCGTCCAATTCTGCAATAAGAAATCCTGTATAGTATTGCTACTGTAGGTTATATATTGAAAGACGTATGCTTTCGTTGATGAAATAATTGTGAGGGAAAAGTGAAAAGTGAGAGAATACTAATAGCATTTATGTGAGAGTACCTAACAATCATATATGTAAAGTATTTTAGAGCAGAAACTTGAAACTTATAGTAATAACGTTGATTTTATCAAATTCAAATACGCACTTAAAAGCTCTCTAAAGCTCTCTCTCGTCCCTCGACATTAAACGATAAAAGATATTAAAAAATGGTGCTGGCTTAGACTACACACTTAATCGGCGAGCCTACGATCACTGGAAATGGAAGAACTTGGATATTGGCCCGCATGGAATCATGCCGGTAACAACTGGAAAAGCTCTACTTCCTAAATTTTTAATTTCAGTCCGGTCACTGAACCCACTGGTATGCTTGTGAGGTTTTCAATCACACGGACTTGTCTCGGGGGGTGGTACTCAAGACAGGATCGATCGGGTTGTTGGGGCTATAAATCTCATAGGCAACTCAAAGTATAGAATTATCTCTCAATGCGTGGTATCTAAATGGTGCAAGTACGCGACCCCACACGCTTTAGGGTGGATTCATAGGTCTCAAAGTTCAATATGAGTAGACGGCCGCGTATGCAGCCAGTCTTTTCAGTAGTCTCAGATATTCTGTTTGCAACATAGAAGTCTTCAAGATTATAAGTGGTAGAAAAAGGCGGGAACAAAAGCATAATTTGTGTATGAGACTTTTCTTTCTATAACCTTTAAAATACTTCCTCCCAGATTCCCTTGTAACTTTATAGTGCTGAGATAAGAATCGACCTAGGGCGAGACTGATCATGTGATAAACAAAGTTCAGCCAATAGGCACTCAGTCAAACAGTCATTGAACCTTTTTTTTAGCTTGCTTTTAATGCATTTCTATTTTCTGAACGTGGCACTTCATCTATGGAATACTGTGTATATTTATATCTGTTTTCAGCGTCGACATCCGTGAACGGCTCGCTTTCCCCCCATACCCAGATTTAGCGACCGGTCAACCGGTATATTTCAAGAGATCACGATAATGGTCTTGCACAAATCGATAAAAGTAGACCAATATATGGAGTTCAAATTGGTAAAATACTCCATAGACAAAGAAAAGCAACGACTGGAGGTAAAATTCTGCCATTTCAGTCCGCCACGTCTGATAATATGATCAAACATGTGACAGCCTTAGGATTTGGGGCCCCTATTTCCATAGTTGAGTAGAGGCATTGTATGAACTTGTGCTATAAAATCTTCAGTAGGACTCTGAACGCCTTCAAGTGGAGACATTGGAAAATCGCGACCGTAGCATAAAATCCGATATATATAAGTGCATCTATATGTATATCGTCTATAAATCACTATCTCCAGATCAACATCAAGCAAATATCAAAACAACCTCACAAAGTGATCTAAGCTCACCCAACAAGGGTAATCCCATTTGGAATCTGGACGGGCACCACACCCAACCACTGAAAAGCCCGTGATAAGACAGCCATACGAATCATTACCGGAATAGAGCGATGTGCAATCTTAGTGCGGGGGAAGAAAGCTTGGCTCTAGGCGGGGGACTTTTCGAGAACTGCAAGACATGGGGATCTAGAGCGATCTACGGAGTATATAAGTTGTACCTTTTTGGATTTAATTGTTTGGGGGAAATCTGCAGTTCAGATGAAAAAAAGAAAGTAGCTGGAAAACCAAAATTTATCTCGAGCGACGTTCTATTTTTTTCTCTAGACCTTCTAAGAGATATTCGCGACGTGTATATCGTGATAAGAGGAATGGCTCACGAAGCCAGGGATGGGTAAAACCGTCAAAGCAAAATGGTTTACAAGACCCCACCAAAATTAAAACAAAACAGCAAAAATCCAAAAACCTTAACGGGTATACGCTCAATGCAAATGCGTGACAGATATGAGGGAATGAACATCCGACCGAAGGTCCTCGACATCTAGTGAGGAGCGACTCGGTCGGTGATAAAAGTGAAACGGCGTGCCAGTGCGCCGTGTCAGGGATGGCGGACATCGATATTCTAAAATATCGAGAGGGCCGATGTCCGACCGTCCCAGGGGACCCAAAAGTTAAAAAAAGGGTTGAATAAATAAAAGACATCGAGCCTTTGAGAAATGGAAGGGATGATTCAATAAAAGGAACAATCTCCTGGATGTGAAGAAAGTAGGACCGGAGATAAGGGATGAATCGGGTGCAGCAGATCATGCGCAGACCTGGACGGCGACCAAGGCGCGGGCCAGATCCTCAGGCGAGAAAGGAAGGTGCTTTCTGGCGGACATGACGCATGGGGTCATAGCGGGTGAGATGGCGCGAACGAGGGGCGACGAATAACGGATTGACTCCTTCAAAAAGAACTTCTGATCCTTTGAATCCTCCGGGATCTCGTAGATAGAGCCCTCGTTTATAAGGGTCATCATGGAGCCACTGTAGCTGGAGGGGTTGAGGATGGTGGAGGACTGAGAGCCGGAGTCAGCAGCGCGTGGCGAAGATTCCGCAGGGGCCTCTGGATTGGCGGCTGTCAGAAAAATACAAGTTAGAATTGATTTTTTTTATGAGTATTTCAATTAGGGCTGGGAATGCGTACCTGAATCGATATCGACTATATCACCCGGAGACACCGAGTCATCTGTATCGGATGGACGGGAGTAGTCGTAACCCTCACACGGGTCACCGGGCGAGACGGAAAGTTCGAAAGAACGAGTTCGTTCGACCATTGCACCCTCGAAGGACCAAGCGGCTAGGCTTTTTTGGTGGGCACGGTCGAAGGGACCGCGGAATTTAGATGGGGGGCACTCGTGTCGTCTGTAGTATTCGATCTTGGGCTTTCCATCATTTTTGGATTTGGAGTTGGAGCGGAACACCCGCTTGACCTTCTCGCGGAACGTCATATTGAAGAAAAGAAGAATTGTGAACAGGGAATATTCAAGATTCAAATTCAAGAAGTTCAGAGATCAATGCGGGCGGTTCCTGGAGAGGATGGCCTCAGTGCATACCAGATCGGGAAGGGGTGTGCAAGCACGAATAGCGGGGGTTTGGGATCAGGAACAGTTTTATCATTCTATGGTATAGAGAGGAGAGGGTCAGGTAAAGGAAAGTAAAGTAAAGTAGAGAAGGAAAATTAAACGTGAGAGGAGGGATAAGTGGGAATTATAATCGTAAACGTGGATGCAACGGCAAGAGATAAGGTGGGATTCCCCAGAACCGTCTCCGGTCCATATCCGGTGAAGACATTGGGGCAAATTAACAAAGGCCTCTAGTGGTGGAGTCTGTCCGAGCACTATGACATTATTATCCATTTGCTTTCCTACTTTACTATATTATCCTTGATAATCCTACCTATGTAGCCTCAGACATTATGTATAACATCATATGGAGTACTCTGTAGATTGTAGATTGTACTATACTCTCGTTGTAAGCGATATTAATTGGAGCCCCGAGCAACCGATTGATCCGAGAAACAACCGAGTCTGGACACTGCACTTTCAGGATAATATTTAGGTGGTAGCGAACTGGATGCTCCGACGAAGTTGAATGTATGTCATAACTGAAGTCAAAGAATATGATCATCCCCCAAATGTAAGTGGCGTACTGCATCGAAGGCTTCCAGAAACGCGGATCGGCCATTCGTGTGAGCCTCACAGTTACATCACTGTCCTTTGTGTAAGCCGTAAGAGGATGTGGTAATGCCAACACACCAACGGGAATAAACCGGAACCAGAGTGGACCCGAAGGCGCCCCGCTTGCCGATTTTGCCGCTCTTGCCGGCCGAAAATTAGTTTTGGTTTATAGCGCATATTTAGACAGAACGTTACAATAACAAGGCCGGCTGGCCCAATGGCAAGGCGCTTGACTACGAATCAAGAGATTGCAGGTTCGATCCCTGCGTCGGTCACTATCTTTTTTTTTCCTTTTTAAATTTATTCAATTTATCTACTCGATTTCACTCTTTTTGTGTGCACAATATGTTATCATATTCAATGACCTCATAATTCACGATCAAAGACAGAATTGGCATTATTTGAGATCCCATATATGCACGTAATAAGGCCCCAATCCACTACAGCCAGAGATATATCTAGTGGGACCATTTCTGACTCCATTGTTTTTCAAAGCCATGGATCTTGCATTGTATGTCCCATAGTACTCATTTTACTATTTATATATTTTCATGATTACTATTTTCGTCTTTTATTGTGATCTTCTTGGGTTGTTTCAGGGATGATGTAATCGCTGTTTACAGCCCTGGAGCCCTTCTCCACGAAGGAGTCCCCCAGTACTTCAGGAACAAGGGATACTATGTTAGGCTCTGTGTCTTTTCCCCAGATATCCTTGAGCCCTGACTGCCCTGACCATCCTGATTACCCCTGGACGGCCCCTAGTCGTGCAAGGCACAACCCTATTTACCCGATGCAGATGTTAGGGCTGGCCCAAGCTCACACGACAGAACTATGAAAGAGACAGTCGCATGCGGAGGAATGTAAAGTAAAACAGAATAAAGAAAGAAATTTTGAGTCTCAAGTCTTTGGTTTTGAAATTTAAAAAGAATTTGGATCTAATAATAACTAGAGAAAAAACTAGACAAAAAAAAGGAAATTTGTGATACTTTGTGTTCCATAACTGTCCTCACCACGGATCGAGAACCCTAGAGAAGAGAACATACCGCGTCATCCCTTGCCTTCTTCCTTCCTACACTTCACTACCTTTGTAAGTTAACTTCGTTTTCTACCATCTTTCATCTCATTCTAACCAGCACAGAATCACTTTAATCTCAACAATGGCCAAGAAAGGAGGAAAGAAGAACAAGAAGGGCAGCAAGCCCGTCGCCGCCGCCGCTGTAGACACCGTCAAGGACGTGGTGTAAGTCGAAAAATTGAACATGCCACATAACCAACAATCTAACCTTGAAACTCTGCAGTGAACCCGATCACAAATCCGAGGACCAGATCAAGCAAACCGAAGGCCAGACTGAGACCGTCGAGCCGACAGAGGCGCCCGAGACTGCGACACAGCCCGAGACCGTCGCCGAGTCCAGCAAGGCATCCGAAGTCATCCCCCCGACCGAGACCCCCGCAACTGAGATCCCAGCTGTGGTGGAGACCGAGGAGGTGGATATCAAGGAGGTCTTGAAGGCCGAGGAGGCTCCCGCGACAGAGGGAACAGTTGAGGAGGCCGTGGGGAAGGCGCAAGCCTCCAAGGCCGGTCAGATGGGTGAGTTGGAAGGTGGCGCTGCTGCAGGTACTGGTATGACGCGCGTTAGTAAAAATGCGACAAAGAATTCAACTAACTCGGAATTTCCAGCTATCCTCCCAGAGACGACTACCCGGGAGCCCGCTTCGACCGCCGCGGCCGGCATTCCTGCAACACTGGTCGAGCGCCCCAAGACCTCGGAATCAACCACCGCCCCTGCTGTCGTTGCGCCCGAGCCTGTGGCCCCTGCTGTTGCGCCTGTTGCCGCCCCCGTCGAGAGCGATGCTGCCCACCCCAAGCGCCCGTACGAGAAGCCCATCTTCAACACTGAGGAGAACCTGAAGCCCCACAAGATGCCCAAGACCGACGAGGAGCCGGTCGCGGCTAGCGTCGCCGAGGACAAGAAGACCATTGAGGCTTTGGCCGGTGTTGGACCTGCTTCGGCTGCTGCGCTCACAACCCCTGAGCCTGCGCCTGTTCAGGCCGAGGCACCCACGGTTGCCGATACACCCAAGGTCGTTGATGCACCTAAGATTGCCGAGGAGAAGAAGGTCGCCGAGGCACCCAAGGTCGCCGAGGCACCCAAGGTCGCTGAGACACCCAAGATCGCCGAGGAGAAGAAGGTCGCCGAAGCACCCAAGAGTACCCCTGCCCAGTCCGCCCCCAAGTCTCCCTCATCTCCCGTAGCGGTCGCCGCCGCGAACGCTGCCCTCCTCTCCTCCAAGGGTGACAAAGCTGCTGCTCCGGCCGCCGCCCCTGTTGTCAAGGAGGCTGAGCCTAAGAAGCCCGAAGCTGCCCTGAGGCGTGGCGAGGAGCCGGTGCGCAAGGCTGACGAGGCCGAGCCCAAGCCCGAGCCCAAGCCCGAGACCAAGGCTGAGTCTGTCAAGGAGGAGACTCAGAAGCCATCTCAGACCGCAGCAGAGCAGGCCGAAAAGGTCGAGCAGGCCGAGAAGAAGAAGGGCGGATTCATGTCCTGGTTGAAGCGCAAGTTCAAGTAAAGTAATCGCCGTGGGGAGTGAGAGCCGGTGTATGATATGCGTTGTACGCTAGTTGGGGATGTTGAGAGGGCGCTTGCAGGCTATCTTAGGCTGCCTCAGGCTTTGTTTTTCTTTCTTTTGTCGGGCTTTGATGATACACCAGTTGAAATTATATATCAGAATCAGAATCATAGTGCTTATTATTTTTGTTTTGGGGTCTTTTGGAAGGTAGAAAGGAATTGTTCCCGGTTGGGGGATTTCATTGGGCTTCCAAGTTTTTGGCTGATGTACACCGCTAGTCAGGCGTCAATGCGTAGCTCCATCTGATATGTACATCATGAGATCTTAATGGTCTGATCGTCCATCTACTTCCCCCTGACGAATCATCAGAACTCAGTTGGGCAGGCTATGCACTTGAGGTTGTTTATTGGTCAGGCTTCCGTCGGTCTTTGCGCTTAACTCGAATGCCACATCTCCCCACAATAATAGCAAAGGATGAACAGTGACTCGCACTGGAAAAGAGCTTCGATGCGAGGCGACATGTTAAAAAAGCTCTCCACCACATACTATTAACGACATGACACCCTGTACCTCGATTGATGGGCCTTACGGATGGACAAGGCCCATGCCACGCTAGTGGGCTCAAGACCAAACCCCGCCCACTGTGTTGTGGCTCTGATTTCGTATAGTGCGGGCTTGTTGTTCGACACGATTGTTCGGGGCATTTTGGGGATCGGGATGCGAATTGGCATTGGGTCCGGGACCTTCTTCTTTCACGTCCTCAGTCTCTTTCATCGGGGAAGAGGAGGAATAATGAACATCCATACAGCATTTCAGCACAATTTGGGCTACTGGGGTTTCCATGGATATAGCAAGGCTGTATTAGTTATCGCACTGGCTCATACGGGGATGAGCTTGTCGGTACTCCATCCCACTGGGGGTTCCCCCCATAGTGGCTGATTAGAGAACTAAAGCAAGAAAGGAATCGATTTCCAACCACCCTTGGAAATCTGACAAGTTATGTATGAACAACTGATAGAAAAACCTCGAGCACAGGAATCTGCCATGAAACGCAATACGATAACCGTTACTTGGCAACACAATATCGGCTCGCGAATAAACCTATCCCGAATAGACAGGATGAGGATGAGGCCCTAGGGGGGTTTAGTCAATCGCCCCAACCGCCTGATGTCTTTCGACGCCAATCGGATGACTGGCATGAATACCATGAAATATCGAACAACTCTACCACAACGACCAGTTGGAAATACATGAGGTGAAATGCATCATGGAAAAAGATTATCAGTTCTTTGCATCGTACTATCACCCTTTTCTTCACCCCATCTTATAGATCCCGAGGCGGTGTCTAGACCAAAGAATAGCACACGAATTCACCCATGAGTGATATGACAGCAGTCTTAAAAAGTCTGCGGTAATAGTATGAGATTGGAATTTGTGTTCCCAATACTCTTGTTTAAAAGTGAAGTGTGAGATGTGTACAGAATCGATGTAGATCCCCCATCTCCCCCGCAGTTTACATTCCCGGTTATAGCTATTTTGGGCCTCGGTAAGTTCGGAATAAGTACATAAAAGGGACAGGGGGAATTCTTCAGTCCTCACATATCACTTCAATTCCTCATGGCATCCCTTCCACGTAAAATATGGCAACATCCAGCCCCAGAATCGACCCAGATGGGTCGCTTCCAGCGAGACCTAGAGAAATCCATCGAACGCAAGTTCGACGTGAGTGAAATTAGCCCTTGTAAAGATGCCATATTATCTAACATTTCCCAGTCCTTCCATGATATGTACCTGTATTCAGTTAAAAACCGTTCGGCATTCTGGGAATTCTGCTGGAAGTACTTCCACCTGATCCACGAGGGCTCCTACACAGAGGTAGTCGATGAGACCGCTCGAATGGACAGCGTGCCCGAATGGTTCACCGGCGTACGTCTTAACTTCGCCGAGAACTTACTTTTCTCGCGCATTGCCGGCGACAAGACCGGCAAGGAAGACGGCAAGATTGCCGTTAGCGAAGTTCGAGAAGGCGCTGCACATGAGGTTGTCCATCTCACCTGGGGTGAGCTTCGTCGACGGACTGGAGTCCTGATCCAGGCCATGAAGGCTCATGGGGTCGGTCGGGGTGATCGTATTGCTCTCTGTGCGGCTAATAGCATTGAGACATTACTTGTGTTCCTGGCGTCAACTGCTCTGGGAGCTATCTTCTCGTCCAGTTCCACCGATATGGGTACGAAGGGTGTTCTGGATAGACTGGTTCAGATCAAGCCTCGCTGGTTGTTCATGGACGATTTGGCGGTTTACAATGGTAAGATCATTGACCTGCGATCGAAGATTAGGGAAATTGTCCAAGGTATGGAATCTGAGTCTGAATTCGAGGGAGTCATTGCACTACCTCGGTTCTCTTCACGGCGGGCAGATATCAGTTCCATCCCTAAGACCAAGACTCTGGCGGAGTATCTCGCCAAAGCGAACGGCAGCGATAAACTTGAATTTGAAAGAGTTGGATTCCGCGATCCTTTCTTGGTGGTTTACTCGTCTGGCACGACAGGACAGCCGAAATGTATCGTCCATTCTGTGGGCGGCGTGCTTCTAAACTCGAGCAAGGAGGGGAGATTGCATAGTGATCTCGGGCCTGATTGCGTCACCTTGCAATACACGACCACTGGATGGATTATGTATATGAGTGCCGTTCAGACTTTGTTGTTTGGCGCGCGGGTGGTGTTGTATGATGGAAGCCCATTTATTCCAGGTATCACTGCTCTGGTTGATCTTGCAGCGCAGGAGAAGTAAGTGTCCTTTTATTGATGTCCGCATCTACAGTCCCCGGCTAATCAATTGCAGGGTGACCCACCTGGGAATATCACCCCGGTGGCTGCATGAGTTACAACAGGCTAAGATCAAGCCCCGTGAGAAAGTCGATCTCAGTTCTTTGCGGATTGTCACAAGCACTGGTATGGTCCTACGGGATGAACTGTTTGAGTGGTTCTATGACGAAGGGTTCCCATTACATACTCGGTTGAATAATATTTCTGGTGGCACTGATATCGCCGGATGCTTTGGAACTGGCAACCCTCTTGCCCCTCTATATGTTGGCGGGTGCGCCGGATGCAGTCTGGGTATTCCCGTGGAGGTTTACGACTCTACTGTCGAGGGCGGCGAGGGAATCAAGGGTGTACCCGTGGAGGAAGGTATTCCGGGCGAACTGGTCGCCACATCTGCTTTTCCCAACATGCCCACACTGTTGTGGGGCGACGAGAGCGGGAAGAAGTATCATGATGCGTATTTTGGAAGATTCGATAGTGAGACCACTACTCCCACTGTGTGGATACGGTCGCTAATACTCTACAGATGTGTGGACACACGGCGATTTCGTTTCCATCCATCCAATCACAAAACAGATTGTGTTTCACGGACGTGCCGATGGGGTGCTCAACCCATCGGGAGTGCGGTTCGGATCGGCGGAGATTTATCGGGTACTCGAAGGACAATTTTCGAAAGAGATTGGTGATTCCATATGCGTAGGCCAGCGACGACCGACAGATACGGACGAGCGAGTGATGCTCTTTTTACTCATGAGACCAGGGGTGGCGTTCACACCGGACCTGGTTACACGAGTGAAGAGGGCGATTCGTACAGAGCTGAGTCCCCGTCATGTGCCGATGTTTACGTTCGAGACCCCTGAGATTCCGGTATGTACTTCGGAGAGAAAACAAGGAGTGGAACTGACTCGCGTATATTACAGACCACGGTCAACCTGAAAAAGGTGGAGCTTCCTGTGAAGCAGATTGTCTCGGGAAAAATCATCAAGCCCTCGGGTACATTGCTCAATCCGAAGAGCTTGGACTTTTACTATCAATTCGCCAAAGTGGAAACTCTGCGCGAGAGTAAGCTCTGAATGGAAAACTCTTGGACCTCTTCGACGTGTCCCCATAGGCAGACCGGGTCGGGACCCATCAGGATCGTCACTTTACTCTGCCAAGCTTTGACCAAGCTTTAGCAGGATCTTGGGAGATTTTGTATATGTATATATGGATATATAGATACATAATAGAAGAGAGAGAAATTAGATTTAAGTAAGATTATATATAATGGAAGGAATAAGAGGCAGAAGAAGAAGAAGTAGAAGAAGAAGAAGAAGAAGAGAAAAAAAGGATGGGCTGATTGACTGCGTCATTGACATCCCCCCGCACACATCTCCTGCTTCCCCCCCTTATATTTCTCAATTCCTTCTGCTTTTTCAACTCTTTAGATTTTGGATATTTAAAGTCTTCTATCTTCTATCATTTATTCACAATGGTTCATCTCGCCAAAGTTAAGAACGACAATGAGATCACCCCCTCTCCTCTCGACATGGTCTCCATTTCTCCTCCGGACATAAATGACTTCGACACCAATGTCTACGGCAGTCACTTTGCCGCTGATCATATGCCCCAGAATGAAATGCCGGAGCGAGAGATGCCCCGCCAGATTGCCGCTCGGATGATCAAGGATGAGCTGAGTCTAGATGGTAATCCCAAGCTCAACCTCGCCAGTTTCGTCACCACCTACATGGAAGACGAGATCGAAGAGATTATGACCGAGTCCATGAGCAAAAACTTCATTGATTACGAGGAATATCCCCACTCCGCCGAGATCCAGAACAGATGCGTGAATATGATTGCTAGACTCTTCAACATTCCCACCGATCCCTCCAGTGACAATGCTATGGGTACTTCAACCATTGGGTCTTCCGAGGCTATTATGCTGGGAGTACTGGCTATGAAGAAGCGATGGCAGAACAAGCGCAAGGCCGAGGGCAAGGACTACTATCACCCCAACATTGTTATGAGCAGTGCTGTCCAAGTCTGCTGGGAAAAGGCTGCTCGTTACTTCGATGTTGAGGAGAAGTACGTTTTCTGCAGCGATACTCGTTTCGTGATCGACCCCAAACAGGCGGTTGATTTGGTGGATGAGAACACAATCGGTATCTGTGCCATCCTGGGTACCACCTACACCGGCGAATACGAAGATGTCAAGGCGATCAACGATCTACTAGTGGAGCGTAACATCGACTGCCCAATCCACGTTGACGCAGCTAGCGGTGGCTTTGTCGCTCCATTCATCCACCCTGAGATTGAGTGGGATTTCCGCCTGGAAAAGGTGGCTTCCGTCAACGTCTCCGGTCATAAGTACGGTCTGGTCTACCCCGGCGTCGGATGGGTCGTCTGGCGGTCTCCGGAGTTCTTGCCCCAGGAATTGGTGTTCAACATCAACTACCTCGGAGCCGATCAGGCCAGCTTTACTCTGAACTTCTCCAAGGGTGCTTCTCATGTTATTGGCCAGTACTACCAGCTGATCCGCCTGGGTAAGCGCGGTTATCGTGCAATCATGGGCAACCTGACTCGCATCAGCGACTACATGGCTTCCGAGTTTGAGAAGCTGGGTATGATCATCTTGAGCCAGACAAAAGGCTTTGGCCTGCCTTTGGTGGCCTTCCGCCTTCCCCCAAACAATGATCGTATCTATGATGAATTCGCTGTGGCCCACCAGCTGCGCGAGCGGGGCTGGATTGTGCCTGCGTACACCATGGCGCCCAATTGCGAGAAGATGCAGATGATGCGTATTGTCATCCGCGAAGACTTCAGTATGAACCGATGCGATAGCTTGCTCGTGGATTTCAAACTTGCTATCCAGACGTTGGATGCTATGGACAAATCCATGTTGGAGAAGTACAGAACGTATGTTATATTCCATAGATATTATGATTTCCATACTAACAGCCCCTCAGGCATATGCATCTCCACCGCAACCACCCTCGGCACGAGTCGCGGACTCACCCTCACTACAAGCATGAAACACACTCGCTGCAGGCCAAGACTGGCAAGACACATGGCGTGTGTTAATTTTCTTCATCAACACGTCTCTTGCTTCTCTTTGGAATATGTTGTGCAAAAGGATTTTGATAGAGTAGTTTTGAGGAGTAATTATGCCAATGTTATATGCTTGTGTTCGTATGACAAGATCCAACTCGTTGGGCCTATAGCTGTAGCATATACACCCTGTATTTGAAATGAATAAATCAATGAACCTGAAGTAGAGACTGACCATGTACGAGTTGGAGCCTTGCAAGAGACAACCTAACACGTGCCAAGCTTGCTGACGCCGTGATTTACTCATTATCACTACACCGCATGCGAAGGAGCATCTCGCTTCCAAGAATCAGGACTCGTTTACATCTGTGTCCGCACTCGACCCATTTGAGCAGATCGAGGTCAACATTGAAGGCACGGAAGGGCCAGGACAGCCCCGACTGCGTGTAACGGGGGTGCCAGGGAAGCATGTGCCTCCTAACCGTGTGATAGAGAAACTCAACACGCTAACCAACGTGGTAGGTGGTGTTGTCTATTTCTAGATGTTCCTAACTGGACGGCTTCTGACCCAACAGACCTCCAGTTCCCGCCAACCAACGACTGGATGCTCGAGCTAGGCCACGGTACCAATACCGTAGACGTTTTCTGCGGTTGTCGAATCTACATCTCAGGAGACATCTTGATGGTAGATGAGCTGCACAAAATCCCTAAGCGACACACAGGCCAACGAATTGACCTGATGCTCGCCCACGGCGGCACACTCATTCCTTCTCCTTTAGCTGGAAGACTTATGGAACTGCTAGCGCTGATGATCACCATGGATGCGGAGCAGGGTCTGCAATTGATTCAGCTGATCCAACCAGACGTGACAATTCCGATCCACTATGACTACAAGGCGTTTGCGAGTCCGAGGATTTCAGGCGCATCATGGCGGGGTTATTGGACAAGGGTGTGGTTTTGGATCGTAGGGACCAATATTGCCGAGTTATGAAATAGTCTGATAGCAAGTTCGGTACGGATTGTCTGAAGCTCAGCCCTGGACGCGTTCGGGGGCTGAACAACTCACATATTTCGATACCGCCATTCTTGGCATGGGAAATGGTGCTTCGTATGATAATTTACTTCGCCTTCAAGAGCGGAGCCGAGTTTTTTGTTTTTCGTTGAGTCTTCAGAATTTGGGGGCGGTTATAACCGAAGTATGAATACAAGACTCGTATATTAGCTCGTGTTAATACAAAAGTATTCGGCCATGAACCTGTAGAATTTGGCTTTTCTTTCAAATCCTTATTTTTCTTTGATCGTTCTTAGACGTAGACCGGAGAGAGGATGTCTACGTGGACTTTGTACAATTAATTGACATTATCACTATTGGATTAGCTACTCTTTTTTTTAACTATTATACCTTGATACATTTAAATATTCTGTATACTCAGCCGGTCATCCATTGTTTACCCTAAATATAGAACAACCTCTCCAATCATCGTTTGTCGACCCCAGATCCACCAAATCAGCCTCTCCCCCCTCTCTCCCACTTCCCCTTTTTCTCATCAAAAGCAGTGATGCACCTCTTTAAAAGGAAGTCACCTTCGAGGAGTCATCATTCTATGCGAAGCGCTGAACAGTTGGCCCCCGCGTTGACTCCACCGGACCCCATACCCGATTCAGACCGGCGCTTTTCACAATACGAGCACGCTGTTTCTGGTTCTGTACAGAATCAGCCTCAGGCTTTAGGTCGGTCTCAAAGTCAACGCCAGAAACCTTTACGTGATCGACCGACCGTTAACGTGGTCGCCCCTGAAGACTCGCATCGCAAAAAGGGCCTATTCTCGTCTGTCGAGCGCAGCATTTCTGTCAAGGGCAAACCAATCTCCCTTCCCATCTCACAACCTACCTCACCTGGAACTTTGCACCCAGAGACTCTGGACGAGTCCGACGAGTTTCTACATCTCCGGCATACCTACTCGGAGAACCCCTCACCGGTGATCGCACCACAACAACAGCAATACCCGGCCCAGCGACCTCCCCGACCTTCCCATCCTGCTCACGCCCAAGACAACCCCGAGTGGTCACAGCAACCTGTGCAACCGCTTTATGCCAAACTCCAGCGGTCCAATACCGACCCAACGCTGCTTGAACAGTACGTCCGACCGTCGTCTACCGATATTGTCCCCGAATCACCACGATACGCGTCGAAACATCTTCATCGGGGGCAGCCTTTACCCCCTGCTCAGGATCCGGTATTGAATACCCGGCCCCCATCCCGGCCCCCATCCCAGCAGAGTCGCGAGCCGCTTTCCCCGTTAGAGTCCGTTTATCCTGACGCCATGCAGTCTTCCGCGCAGGCACAAACACAGGGTCAATTTCAGCAGTTGGATAGACAGAGATCCGCAGGTTCACCACAACAGGATCGGAGTCGGCAGGGTAGTGTGTCAAACAACATGCCTGATCCCGGACGGAGCACACCCACCAATACACACCGCCGCGACGATTCCGGAGAAGTGGACGTGCGGGCATTGATCCAGAAGCACGATGAACTCCGTAAGGATTTGGTTTTAATTTTTAATTTTTAATTCTTTTCGATTGACTAACAATGATCAGAGGCCAAGTATTCCAAGGTGAAACGATACTACTTTGAGAAAGATGCGCAGGTTCAGCATCTCCAGAACACGGTAGCGCACCAACGAATGGCGGTGTCGCGTACCGTACTTGACGATAATGAATACACCAGCCGATTCCAGCGACTTGATGGAGCCATTAAAGATCTGGCATTCTCCGTGCGCAAAGACTGGCGCAGTATTCCATCGTGGCTGAATGGAATGGTCACCGACGATGCTTTAGCGGTCGGCACAAAAGAAATGACCGCGGTCGGTCGGGCGGTGATCAGCCGATGGCTAGTAGAAGAGGTATTCCAGCGTTATTTCCATCCATCCTTGGATCCGACATTCAGCGTGCAGCTGAAGAATATCGAAATGAACCTGCGACGGCAGCGACCGTCATCCGACGAAGACCGCGAGAACGCCTCCGCCAGACTCTCCTACTGGCGTCGCACGACCTTCGACGGATTGACTGATTCCTTAGTCGGACCTGATGCCGAAGAACATCGCACTGACCTAGTCGAGACTCTAATTGTGGAACTCGCTACCTTTATGGGATCCCAGCTTCACGAAAGCGCGCTGCCAGGGTTAGAAGCAAGCGTGCGAATGATCATTGAGAACTCAATCAACATCATCGAAAAAATCCCCCTCGAAGCCCGCGATGTCTGCGTCGATTACTTCCCACCGGGCGTCTCCCTCGCCGAGCAATACATGAAGGTCGAAGGTCAATTACCCGCACTCAGCCACCCGCCCCCACCACCCTCAGACCAAGAGCAGCCCGAGGAGCCTACCGCGACAGAGGGAGATGCTTCATCCGGCTCACCCGCCGGAGTGATAGAAAGTGCCTCACAGGCACAGCAAAAGGCCTCGAAGAAGTCCATATTTGGTGGCTTGAAAAGCCGCAAGCATGCCGCCAACGAGATCAGTCGTCCGGCGCCGGCGCCCGGACCAAGCGAAGACAAGAGTGAGCCTGTAGAGGTGACTCCGAGCAGCCCTCGCATTCGCTTCGCAGCGTTCTTGGCCGTCGAAGTGCGCGGCAAGGGCCCTGCAACGGTGCTGATCAAGTCGCCCGTGTGGCTGGTGGAATAAACGGTACATAAATGCAGCTGGGTTAGATTGGCAACCGCAGGGGTTCTATATCTAAAATGGTGGTTGTAAATAGAGAACGGACGGAGCTTTTACATGCTGGCATGGCGACGAAGATCACTTCAAAGCTAATATCCGTTGATATCCCGCGGTGTTTCGGTTCAGCGCTGGCAGTTGGGGTTGCGGTCGAGTTTTTCTTTTTTTTCTTTGTTTTCTTTGCCTTAACGACTAGAATCTGTGATTCTGCTATGATTGTGCTTTTTGAGTAGGAAGTTTTCCAATTCGATGTTTCTTAGCGGCAGTCCTCGTAGCTCGTCCAACTTTTTTCCTATTCCATTACTTCCACTCCTTACCCAGACACTTCAATACCTTCCATACCATATACCCTACTTACAATCAGCATCCTACAAAGGCGGCGGCGCCAAATCCAACCCCTCAACCTCAAATTTAAACGCATCACTCCGTGAATAACTCCCAGCAACATCAAGATCAAGCCGTCCACGCTCACAATCATCCATATCAACACGCGCAATAGCCAGCCCATCACCCGCCGCAACATCCGGCCGAGACTCAGTAGCCGACGTGCCAGGCGCGGAATCAGTCACAGCAGCATCGCTACTATCTGGTACGTCATCCGTACAAACTTCCCACAACGGACCGACAAGGACCTCTCCAAGCGGCGAGACAATACAACTTCCACCACGACAAACATACTCCAAGTCCGAGTCCGACGTAGCAAGGGACTGTTTAGTATTCGACGTGAAAGAATTCCCCGACTGCCCCTGTGCTTCACCCTGTGCCTCATCCTGTGCCTCACCGTGAGCCTCACCGTGAGCCGGTGGCCAGACAATCTCATGCGGACCCTCAGCAGTGATGGAAAGTTTCCTTCCCGGATTCTGTGTAGTCTTCGGATTTGGAGCCGTGCGTGTATTTGGATTTAAATTCCGATTCGGACTTGGACTGGTAATCCACTCCGGTAGCTCGGAGGGACGCACACACTGGTTCGCTGAGAGCACGAAGCAACGACCTTCTATGCCGACGGTGCGCATGAGCGCGAGCCAGGTATCGCGGGCGTCGGCTGTGGGAGCGAGATATATATTCACGTTCTGTGAGTACAGACTCTGTCGTAGGAGGGGCATGTAGTTCTCCCAGCAGATTGCCGATGCTATGGTAAGTGGGATACCGTTTAGGGTTGTTGTGACTGCGCGGAGGGTTGAAGGGGACCCCTGGGCCCAAATCATGCGCTCGGCGGCCGTCTACGGAGGTTAGTATAGAATTTCGATGCTAGAATCATAGAATAGGGTCCGGGAGGGGGAGGGAGATGAAGAAATAAAGACGAAATCCATACCGGCATAACCTTCCTCCTCTTCCCCAGAATACCTCTGACAGGATCCACATAAACAACAGCACAATACAAACTACCCCCTGCTCTCTCCACCAACCCGGTAACGAAAAACACTCCGGTTTCCCTTGCAACACGCTCAAGAAACTCCCTCGTCCCGTCCCCTCGGAACCTTTTTCCCTCTGCGATTTCCAATCTACGACCAATCCACTCGTCACCAGCTCCGGCTGGCGTATCGCCTAGATCAACGGCTGCCTTGAAGTAGGCAAGGAACTGGTCCCGGCCGCGCGGGTGTCGACTTCCCACTGCGGAGCCGAAGGTGCATGTCCGCGGGTATCCGCCTAGATAGGCTTCTGGGAAGAGGAGGAGGTGGACACCGCGGCGGGCGGCGAGGGCGGTTGTTCGTTCGAGGGCGCGGAGGGTTTCGGATAGTGATTCGTGTGTACGAGACTGGGCGACTGCTACTGTGAGAGAGGGCATTTTGGGATCGATGTGTTATGGCTTTTGGGGTTACGATTGGGAAGAGGAGAGAGGTTGGGATGGATGACGAGATGGATTTGAAGGGAACCGTGGCTGGGCTTTGGGGTACCCATGGACTCTATATACGAATATATAGATTTCTAATATCAATACTCAACTGCTCTATAGAATTCGATGGGTGATGGGTTTATGCATTTTGCCATCGAGAGGGAGCAATGATCTAAAAATGCTAGAAAGTCAAGTACAAAGTACATGAAACTGCAGGATTAATGGGGAAAAAGGCAAAGAATATGAATTCGTTCTTCCACTGAAATAGAATACTTTGGGGCTAAAAGCGGATCTAAAAGATCAAATCCTCACGGGATATAGATCCAGTATAAGCTCATGGGCCGCGCTATGCCTCCCTTGCTGTACGCTCTATACTAACACGTCCTTAAACGATTAAAACTCAATCACTCAATTTTAAAATTCCTAGTAGAATCCTCAGATCTATACAGAATAGTTGCAGCCTTTATTAGTAAGACGCCTAACTTTATAGGGAGTTTATCGCCCATATATAAATCAAAGTAAATGATAACCGTATAATATGAAGTAATGTTAGTAAATAAGGTATAGAAGAAGGATAATATCAGTTTTGTGTATTATCTTCGAAGAAATCTTGATTCCGCCTATGCCCCAGCGACATCTTTAGGCTCTCTATGAGCCTCGCCTCCAGATACACACAGTGTCCTGATAATGCTGCTCGTGCTCCATATGCCCAAATGTTCATCCCTTCTATCCCTACCTCGCCTTCGGGACCGTGCGCTGTGCTGTGGGAGTACGAACAAGAGTCTTGAAGACTCCTGCTTGACAGAAAAAATCGTCCAGACCGCAGACGAAGCAGGAATGTGCTGATTAGGCCACTTCATGTTTATGTGTAAAGAAGTACGTGGCGAGGATAGGCCTGCCGGTGGGTCCAATATCTGTTTCCAAGGTTGAGAGTAAGCAACTTGCATTAGCGCATTTTGAAGTGTTTGCCCCCACATCAACCCTAGATAGTAGAGATGATTTAAGGAAGTGTGCTTCTCTAAATTCATCTTTCTAACCATCCTGTGAATTATTGTTCTTCACTCGCGATCTTCCTGCCAGCTTCGACCACACTCCTCCTGTCAACAGCAACATGGACACCCAAAATGCCAAAGGAAAGACCGCTATTGTCACCGGTGGTAAGTCTCCTTTGGAAGCTCCGTCTCGAAGGCGTAGCTTTGACCAAACCGAATAGGCGCAAATGGCCTTGGGGAGGCATATGTTCGTGCTCTTGTTGCAGCAGGGTAAGAAGTTGGCAAATTTAGATTCTGATGTTCGACTACTCACACTTTATCCAGAGCGATAGTGGTGATTGGTGACCGTGACGTTGCACGGGGACGAAATCTTGAAGAAGAGCTGAAAGGGTATGCCTGGAATCAAGTAGCTTTGCCCTTTCCACTAACCTACTCCAAGGACAAAATTCATCGAGTGCAATACTGCCAACTGGGATGACCAAGTCCGTATGTTCCAAGAAGCAGCTTCGTTCTCTCCGACCGGCAAAGTATCTTTTGTGATCGCAAATGCTGGGATTCACCGTCAGGATGAAGTCTTTTCATATGCCGGCGATGGCAGAATGCCTGAAAAGCCTGATCTCGCTACTATCGACGTCAATCTCGTCGGAACTCTATATACCTCGAAGCTTGCATCGCATTACTTCATTGCACAGAACGGGCAAGAGCCGTCCAAGTCACAGGAAGACACCTGCTTGATTTTGATAGGGTCAGGCGCAGCCTTTTTGGATTGCCCCCGAGCTCCTCAATACTGTGCCACGAAATGGGCCATGCGAGGTGTCATGCATTCCTTGCGAAGAACAGCCTTTTATTACGGGAGCCGAGTGAACATTATATCGCCTTGGTAATAAATCCCTACTTATCCTAGTCTCGTACCTGGCACTGACGAATTCAGGTATGTCAAGACAAATATACTCTCAGAAGAGGCCTTTGCACATATCACCAGCGTAGGTGTTCAATTCGCAGAAGCTTCCGAAGCGGGCCAATGTCTCTTGCACATTCTCAGTGACAGCACCATCAACGGTCGTTCGTTCTTTGTTTGTGGCAAGAAATGGTCTCCCAAGGGATACATGGATCTAGAGCTTGAGGATTACCAAGGGAACTCTTTAGTTCAAAGTATTCAGGAAGATCAAGTCAAGTCGGCTCCCGTTGAAATGGGGCTTTTCGTTTAGTGATGAAGCCTTCAGTATCTGGAGAAAGAGCACGACTCACTCTTTTCATGTTTCAAATCTGAGCAAAGATTATGACGAGCTAAACGCTACCAAGAAAAGTAAAAATAAAAGAAGGCTGCAGAAGAGATAGAATGAAATATGCTTTGTCATACTCCCTTTCCATGGCATTGGCGATAGGAAGGGACCTAGACTCTTTCCCATGCGAGATTTATTCCAACCTCTTGATCGCCTCCCGACAACCCGATACGAAACCGGCCTCACAAAATGCAATAATTTTTTCATAGCTGTCCGCTTCCAGGGAAACAAGGTCCGAATGCTGGTAGATGTGCAAGGTTTTCATATCTGGCTGCAAAGACCGCCTCATTGAATGAGATTCAGTAGATAGGACCGGTGTTGAGGAGACTGATGAAGACGGTAGAGTGTTTGGTTGAGAACTTAATGAATCTCGAGCGGTAGGCGAAGGATCGAACGGAATGGGCTTCGGAAATGCGACTGTCCCAAGACTGAGCAGGGAACCAAGGATAATCAAATTCATCATTTTCAGGTGACTCCGCGAATGGAAGGTCTTCGAGGGCGCTCTTTTGAAAGAAGTCTTGAGGTAGGAAAACCGTGGAGGGTTGCGAGCGGCATAGTGCTCTTACCTAGCCCTGGAGGTACCCACCATGTGGACATAATCTAGCATCTCTCGGAGTTAAGACACGGCAGCCGATCAACGCTGACGGTATATGATCCATGGTCTCAGTAACCAACTACTTGGCAATATCCTTGGCCTTGCAGCACCGCCCCCGAGACAGACTGGTCACTACGTCGCTACATGTTCAAGGCAAATTATTTCTGCTTCAAGCTAACTGTGCACAATACTGAGATTGTCGGTAAAAATGCATTCAAGTGGCCCGACGGCAACCTAATTGAATGACAAAAGTATAAAACATAGAAATGCTCCAGATAAGTAGGAAATGCTGATCTGTTCTATCGATCTGACAAGATACGTCTCCAAACAATAGGCTTCTCCCCTCTTGATTTTCTCCAGCGATTTGTGGAAGCTAGCAGCTCTGGTGAGTCGCGGAGTAGCCATTTCCATTTATGTGCAAAGCCCTCTGTAACTTCCCAATTCTTTGCATCCCACGAGTCTCCCCATACAAGTAACGTGGCAGCGGTATTTCTCGTGTCCCAGAATGCCATGAGATCATGGCACAGGTCATCGTCATCAAAACCGTTACCAGCAAGAATCATGCAGTCCCGCATGTTCGGGAAAGGAAAAAAGTCCAACCAAGGATGATGTGGAATATGCAATTGAAGGAAAGTTGGACGTAAGCAGTGCGGAATTCTCTCGACTGAAAAACTGGGTTGTTTGAGATTGAATATTGAGATTGAATCATCGCTTTGCATCCACGCAGGTGTCATGCCAATCGCAGCAATGTTCTCGTTGATGGCTTGATGCACATTGAGTCGACTAAGACTTATCAAGTGATCTCTGTTGGGTAAGCCTTGAATATAGCTTTGATACGCAATTTTCTTAAACCATTGGTGGAATTTCCAGGCATTTGGAGGTGCGTGTGAGCATTCAAAGCTTTCCTCATGTACCGCCTGGGAATCAAGCGGTAGCACGGAAGTGGACGCACTGGGCAAAGCGGCAGAGGAAGTAGTGACAGCATCTGGTTCCACTCGATTTTGTCTTCTTGTCCCTAAGGAATTACCCACCATTATTACCAAGTTTCGGAATTGATTGAATAGTACATACGGTAGCGTCGTTGGTTGAGTCGGTTCTGTAATTTTCTTCGTTCTGTCCGATTTATGACTCCAGTCCAATCATCTTGAGCCTTCTGAACGCCAGCCTGTTGGGGCATTCTGTCCAGCGGAATGATCTGCGCTTCTGCCGAGGGATTTGTCATTCTGTGATTGGGAATTTTATGCGACCTGATGACAAGCTAGAGGATTAGATCTTTAATAAAGAATGGGGTCAGAAATGTATCTGTCCCCAGAACTCTTTAGAGGCCCCGAAAATTCTGTCTAATGGTCGATTCTTGGCGCCTTCAGCCTTCGATTGCTTTGATTTGCCAATGGCAATCTCAAGCCACAGCCCCATGTAAGCAAAAGTCCCCTGATTGATTGGTCCATCGCCTGGTCCACATAAGCTTAACTTTTGTAGCGGCCTCTAACGTATTTCACCACCGAGTGGATCACACCACCGAGTGGATCAGCAAACCCAACCCTATGAATTTAATTCCATTTATCTCAACCAAAACGCCATTAAATTAATTCAACTAATTAACTGGTCTATCTGGACATGTTTCTCTTCTATGCCCTGGCAATCTGCATATTCCACACCCCCGGGGGGCCGCGTACGTGGCTGAATAGCCGATTCTCTAGGTACACTGGGATCCGGGGGAGGTGCTTCACCTGCTTCCTGTTGCTGCATAATTAATGCAGAGGCTTCTTCGACTGAGAGTCCTTCTTCGGAGGGTATATGCCTTCGAGATCTAGCCCGCTTTTGCTTCTGCTTCTCGTTAGCAGCGCGTAAATCGCTGACTTCTTTCTCGAGAAAAGCAGCAGACTGCATAGTGATTTGACAGGCTTTTAAAACCTGATTTATCGCGCAATTTAGCGGGCTCGGAGGGCTCCTCGATCTAGTACGAAGTAAAGCTTTAATTGACGAAGCTTGCTTTTGTAATTGCACGTAGTTCGAGGGCGTTTTAGGGTCCCAATCGCTCCCCCTACTCGGAGGGGGGGTAGGGGTTCGAAGTTGAATATCTAGCTTCGAGATCACTTGATCAGGTGCAAAAGGTACTAAACCAGCTGCTTTAAAGCTATTCTTAATCGTCTCCGATTTAAAAGCTTCGATTCGTGCGAGGGGGTATATTTCGAGGAAGTCAAGTTTATCGATATGGTTGATCCGAGTCCGCATTTTCATTTCAGCCAGCCGACCATACGATCGTTTTAACACCGCAAAACAGCCGATATCGAGAGGCTATAAAAGGTGAGAGGAGTGAGGTGGCATATAGATCGGTACCACCTTATTTTGCTCACAGATCTCATCGAATTTCGGGGTTAAATGGCTTCCATGTCCGTCGAGTATCAAAAGTCGATACCCCCCTTCGTACGTGAAGAAGTCGTCGGAATAAAGAGCTTTTCGAGCCAGCGAACTCTAATTTCATCAGAGGTCTAACCGTTTAGACTAACTTCAAATCGCCAGTTATCCGGAAGGCTATCGAACCAAGATTCGAGGAAGACTTTGCCTTTAAAAATCACACACGGAGGGAGGGCCCACCCCGAAGCATTCGTACATTCAATAGTAGTCACCCATTCACGATTTCCAGGTTATAAAACCGGGCGCCGACCGTAGAAATCGCTCCTCGTAACTACCTTAGCTGTAGTAATTAATCCCATCGCGAAACCAGTCTCATCGAAGTTATAAACGTCATCGGGGTCGATTCCGAATTAAAGGATTATTTTTTGAACAAGATCGAACCACTCTCGAATAGTTTTCGGGTCTTCGCATTTCGCACGTTCGTAATTATACCGTTTCGAGAATCGGGAGGAGAGTAGAGGACGTCGTTTAATATATTTTATAACCTAATTTTCGCCGACCGAAAGAACCGGGGTAGTTCCGCGCTTTTCGAGGAGAAGATTCGCCATTTCTCGTATCATAGAAGGCCGGGGGGCTGATCCACGAGAATCCATAGAGAGAATCCATTTTTGAAGAGAATCCTCTTTAATATCTGTTAATTTCTGGCAATTTGCGCGGGTTTCGGAGCGATTTGTGAGACCATTAAGGCGGTTCCGTAAAGAGGAGAATGGCACTTCAAAACGACGCGATGCTTCGCGTATAGAGGTAATTTGCTGGTTTTTAATAGCCTGGATAGCTAATAAAAGCCTACCCTCTTGCTCTGCTGAATTACTAGAGGATCGGGAGCGAATTGGTGGCATAGTGGGTGGTTGAAGTGGTTAAGTGGTAATTCATGGACGTGTTTTCGTGTCGCTGATCCACTCGGTGGTGTGATCCACTCGGTGGTGAAATACGTTAGCAATCTGCCGAAGCTGAGGTATACCCAAGATTGCTATCGCACGCAATTTTATTGAACAGACCTGTCTCTCATCGATTTAACCTAGGGTAGAGCACTGAACTATCTAACACCATATGATTAAGTACACATAAACCTCCGTTCCCTTGCTGATTCGAATACTTCGATCCCTTGCACCCTCCATATTTGCCGCAAGGGCCGATCGGTGTTCGGAAAATTGCTGCAAGTCGGATGGGGACCTGCCTTTTCGTGCCGGCACTTGGATTTTGCGTGACTCAAACGAGGCTCGTTTGAAAGAAGTCGGTGAGCCTTTGGAATGGGATAAGCTCGGTGCGATCATAAAGGTCGACATGACCAGCGCCTGGTACCCAGAACAGTTCCTTCGGCTCCCCAGCACGCGAATAGGCATCTTCACTGAACTCGCGGGAGTGTGCCTGGTCGCCCGAGATAAACAGCATCGGGCGCGGGGAGATTGTCTCGATACCGTTAAAGGGGTAGAAGTTCACAAACTTGGTGAATGTAGAGAGCGTAGGGTGGGTAGTGAGCTCTGGTGTAGAGCCAACGGGAGTAACTTCGCCACGCTTGGTGCGGTAATAATCGTAGAACTCACGCTGGATAGCGGTAGAGTTTGCAGTGAGGTGATTTTGTGTACCGCTTGTGTACTGGATCTCGCCGCCATCGACTTCGATCCAGCGTTGCTGGGCCGCTTCGGCGATTGCTTGCTTGAGCTGAGGAACGCTCTGCGAATGTTGGAGTCCATCGCGAGACAGAGCGCCCATATTGTACATGCTCGACGTAGCGATGGCCTTTAGGCGCGGATCGAGCTTCGCCGCACCGATCACGAAGGAACCACTGCCGCATATACCGAGACCGCCAATCCGCTCGCGGTCGACAAAGTCCTGGGTGCCGAGATAATCGACAGCCGCGCTGAATGCCTCTGTGTAGAGATCTGGGGACACTGCGTTTCGCGGTTCACCCTCGCTGGCGCCCCAGAAGGGGATGTCAATAGAGACTGTGACGAAACCCTGCTCGGCCAGCTTCGTGGCGTAAAGGTTCGCGCTCTGTTCTTTCACAGCACCCATCGGATGGCCGACCACGACGGCTGGCCAGTCTGCGCTGTGATTCAAGTCTTTGGGATAGAAGAGATCGCCTCCGATAATCGTCTTATACTGACTTGGGAAACTGATCGGTTGAATCGTCACGTTGTCGCTGCGGTAGAAGTTGTCGGCCCCGTATGACATATTCTGCGCCATAGCCGACATTGCCATGCCAAGTGCGGTGATTCTGCCGATGATTGCCTTCATGATGGCGCTTTCTATGGTTGGTGGCGACTGCACAACGAAACAATAAAAAGCTGGATATAAAATGCATTTCTATCAAGGGGCAAGTCCTTAGTTTTATAACTGAGAGCAACAGGATATCGGAACGCTGTCATCCTGCCAAGATCTAATATTGGTAATTAGGTACTAAATCCATGTTTAAGGTGGGTTCTGCCAAGGACCGGCGTGTTCTTTGAGGTGCTGACAGTCATCAAAATGGCCTCAGATGATTCGAAGGGCTTCCTGTGCCACCCGTTCGGTCCGGCGCTAAAGCATGTTGCTTACATTTTCAAAGTTGGAACCAAATCAAAGCTATCAAGGACGATCATTTCCCGTGGGGTGCCACTTTATATGGTTTCTTCACGATCCTAGATACTATCCCGCCCAAGGCATCATTCACTCCATACGCCATACTGGTCTCATTGATAGGCACCAATATCTTATATAAGTATATACCTTTGGCTGATAATCATCTGATCAAGAATGCTGCCGGGATTTTTCCCATGAGGGATCCATACTACCCTTCATTCGTATTTCCAATGCGGGTCCAAGTTGATTGGTCCTCCGTTGCCTGTTCTTTAATCCTAGCGTGCTGCTGCCGTCTGGGTTCGTAACAGTTCTCCGTGAACGAACCTGGAGGAAGGAGTGCTTCAATGTTGAAATTTCTCTCCCACAAATATTTGTTGTCTTTTGAATACAAAGGCCTCTCAGAATGATGCAGCGGGGTTGCTATAAACTGTTATATATGGACCAGTCCTCTCTGAAAAGGCAATAGCAATCCACGTATAAACCTTGCTACTGGTCTCAAAATCGTAGGTGGGGCTAGAATACGCAACGCATCAGTATTAGACCGGTAGGCTACGAATAAAACCCAAGTTGAACTTACTAGGAATCTTCCTGTATCTTCTGGTGCGTGGAAATATGGTCATTCCATCCAAGACCCGCGAAGAGAGCAACCAGTGCCTCAGTAACGTGCTTATCATAGTCATCACAGAGGAGAAAGTATGCCTTTGGAGCAGGATTAGGGTCGGTTGGAGACAACTCCCAATTCCAATTGAAAGTCAGGTACTCTCTGGTCTTTCCCCCCGGGAGAGATTTGGGATATACAAATTCCCAGACCTTTTTCACCAATTCCCAGCCCTTGATGATATCATCACCTTGAAGACGGCCTCCCAACGACCAAAAGTCATGTGCATCTTCCAGAGACGTTATGTTGGCTCCAGCGTATATTTTGACACGGGATGTCTTGGGGTCCTTGCAGTCAAATGAAAGAAAGCTTTTGGCTTCCAGCAGTGGATGCTTGGTGGTTGAAAGATAATCATCTACCTTTGACAGGCCTGCGGTCAGGGGTGTTCCCTGCCAATATTCCTTTATCGAGTCCAGCATGATCCGAATAGGATCAACCCCAGTTGCGATTGATCGAACCAATGGGACAATGTATGGTTTGATAGCGAAAGATCCATCCTGCAAATCAAGCGCGATGACTTCCTGAGATTTGATTCGATGCAGCTTCAGAGAATCCCAGTGTTGACGCGCTTCACGATTCGAAAATGTAACTACATCATCGAAGTAGTTGAATAAATCAAAGTCAACACCCGGTTGAAGTCGGTTCAACGCGTTGAGGAGGTTTCTGGCAGCAACGTCATTGACAGGATCCCGTTCGGTTCCAGCATCAGGGCCACTTGGCTCAACAGCCATTCGAAAACAAGGATTCGATCCCTCTCGGTAGTTGACACTAATTTCCCATGGCTCTCCACCTCCAGGCAAACAGGAAGGCCAAATCAGATTGGATCTGTTTTCATTGGGAAACGGCCCGAGGGTTGGGAGAATGGTGGAATGAAGCATCAAGAGATGTTGGTACTGAGCCCCGATACTGTACTTGGTATTCTTAAGATGGGCCCCGATAATAGGCGCCATTCTTTCCCACCAAAGCCTGTGATCCGGACCCTCAAATTTCATGAATTGGTCGAGGGTCTGCCATGGTTGTACATTCTGTTCGACGTTCTTCGCTTTTACCGGAGACGATGATGGTCTGCTGAGTTGCTCGGAGATCAATGTCATTTTTTTTGGAAGGCTTCGTGATCTAACGAATAGATAATTGAATGATTTTGTTCCTAATGGTCAGGAATATGGCTGTGAAGCAAGAAATCGCAGATGCCCAGAAAATTTAAACCGAAGACTTGCTCTTGAAGTACAGGTGGTGTGGGAGAGTGCTGAGGCGCTCCAAACTGACCCATCAGGCACATGGAATATGTATGCTAATGGATCCATCTAACTATTTCATCAGATCTTACGTAAAAGGTAGATTTGCCGCTTGTGATGTTCCCACGCCACATGATCAAGGCTCCATTTACGTGCACATATGCGTAACACGTAGTACTCGCATTAGGGCGTTACATTGAGGGAAAGCCCTTCACGACGCCAAAAAAATATGATACAATTTTCTGATTAGTCGAGCCCCAAGCTTCATTTACACCAGTAAGCCCGAGGCTGAGTGCATCCTACAGATGCATCAAGTAGTGGTAATTATATCCCTGGAATGTGGCGCCCCGTATGAAGTGTAAGTAACCGTACAAATATATCTGAATATCGTAATATAATGATGATTACGAATGTATGTTCTGGTGAATTAAAATAGAGTACAGCAGGGAAGGTTAGAGCGTTTGTGGTCTTGGAAGAGGACCACGAAGGGGCATAGCGCTCAGGGTCGTATACACCCATCTGATGCCCTAATGCCTGAGTTGGGCTATAGCCAACCATTTTACACCTCTTCATACAGTATATTGTAAATCATCAATCCATTCCGAGACAAAATTTGCCTTTCTCAACGCTCGACTAATTCTTGCTAGAAATCCCAAGGGCCTCGCGTTCCTTTAACACTACAGTGGCCCACTCTTGCATTTCCGGTAGACGAATTGCCCCAACAACATGATAGAACTCAGACAAATCTCGCTTTTGGGAGCGTTCGTATTCGACAACTTGCAGAATCATCTCCACTTTATCAACGTCATGGACAAACTGGGCTTCAAGAGTAATGTTGTCTTCATACTCTCGGAAAAGCCCCATGAGCTTTTCTTGTGCCGACGCACCCCCAGGAGCACCGCCGATCAAAGAGTTGCCGATGTATTCCATTGTCAACAATTCTCGTCGCGACTTTTCTGCTTTGGTGATATCTTTGTTCAGCGGAGTGATGTCTCCTACCAGGCATTCAGCCATATCATGAACGAGGCTCATCTGGACGCAGTGCGATAGGTTGAGCTTTGAGGCCAAAGATGGGGGGCATAACATAGTCATAATAGACATGCGATACATATGATCTGCGATTGATTCTCCGGAGGCGATTCCAACCTGCTGCCAGCCTTCTCGTTTTGTCGTCTTGAGTAGCCCTAAGAGATGGAAGAATGGAATGGGCGAGGTTGGTGACTTCGGTGGCTTGTAGGCTAAAGCGGACAAAGCTGCAAATAATCTGAGCCAGTATTCTCATTTCAAGCTCGGAACACGTACCCGACTCAACAGTCCACTCTGATGGTGTTGGTTTGTATGATCCCATTGCTGCTATATCTCAAATGTTTCGTAGCGGCTTCGCTATCGAGTATCATTGAAAGGGAATAGAACCCTACCAAGTCTAAGACAATTAAATCGATATAAAACCTTGGACTGTAAAATTCTGCACTTGATCAATGTTGAGATGGAGATCAGCTCCTAAATCGATATATGAAGTCAAATAAATGTAAGAGTTCAGCCCAGCCACGCCTTTCCAATCCTGCAAGTATCTGCGCTTAAATTGAATAGGCCTACTTTTATTGCATGGGTAAAGATCGTCGGCTATGTGATGTGGAAAAGGCTCGATAATTACCTGTCATTATTTTGAATATGAAATGAATGTTTGACTGTAAAATGTAAATATTGATCATGTTTCACATGCAGTGAGATATTAGACGCGTTATTCGAATTTATTGAACCAATTGAAAAATGCAGAAAGTACCATAGATTCGCAATATAGACTAGATGTGTGCTGGTGACTATGAACAGCGAAGAATTGTGGGGCTCTGCGAGGATGTTCAATGCCGCTGGGTGAAAGGGCACGCAACATTGAATCAGAATTTGCACACATTCTCGAAGGGAAAGAGGATGTGTCCCGCTCAAAAGCCTTTTTTCTAACTCATTACCCCCTTCTACCCGATGCCATGTCATATCTTGCATGCGGTTGGCCCCTTTCAGTTTTTCATGTGGAGAATTGACCGTGATGGCATATTCAAAAAAAACTTCAAACATATACCACCAGGCTTTACGGTCCCGGAGACCAAGGATTGGTTTGCCACCGAATACCCTCCCTTCTGGTGTGTAGATTGAGTTCGCGGCGATGTGAGAATTTGCTTCCCAGGACTCTGAATTTAGGATCTAGTAGCTACGAAGCAAGCCAACAAAGACAGAGGCGCATTTGTGTTATTTAAGACGGTCGAAAATTCACGTAAAACGTGCTTCGAAGTCATTTCGCCCTACATAATTTATCTAGCATCCGGGAGTAAGCAGGAGCCTAGTATTAAGTACAGTACACCATCAAGGTTGCGAGAAGAATACATCCTGCAACCTTAGCCTTCATGATGGAGGTCGCGTGGATGCGGTTTTACATAAAGCAAACTCTTGAGGTAGGATATGCGTGGTCTTTTCGGGGCCATAATGTAATACCACCATCGTTGACAACCAATAAGACTTTGCAGGTGGTGTGTGGTTAGTGAATAATGCTTCTGGGTAGTGGGATCCTCTAGGTAATGTTGTCCTTCTTTACACGACCTTGTGTTCGGCAGCAAGTTGGTCTTCCCTATCCCCTTGCATCCTTTAAGTGGGTGACGAGCCTCTTTTATCTCCTTTCTTGGGAGATGAATGCGTGTCACTAATATGATGAAACGTAATGAACAGCCTTAATATCTTGCTAGCGCGAAATAGATCCTAATTTAGAAGCTGGTCCTCTACAGAATTAGAATTCCTTAAACCGTTTGATGGGATCAGGCTCAGAACGGCCATTGATCTTGACAGTGATCGAAGTATCATCGGATCGAACTCACTGGCTAGGCAAAAGTTTCTGCCAACCCTCGCTAGTTTGCCTTTGAGGAACTGCTCCTAGTAAGAACCGGGTGCCAACACTAGATTTTGCTAACGTAGTGGAAAACTGAAATGATACGACCAGTCATTTTTGACGGTAAAACTAAAAAGAAAAAGAAAGAAACCAAGGATTTGCTTCGCAATAAAAACCCGAAAATACTGTATAACCACGTTCATGTTGGAAATCTAATTGGGGAACGACTTAGCTTCCAGCATGACCATTTGGTTACCAATTCCGTGCTCACTTCCCAGGAAATGAAGTTCAAGCTGTGAAATAAGTTCTTCTTGGCTTTCCATGCAGAATGAGCCACCGGTGAGCAGATTAGCAGCCGCTTTGCATCTTTCAGAAACATCTTTCTCTGGGAACACATATTGTCCCCCGATCCGACGAAGAGAGACTTGACCGAAGCCCTCACCTGCCAGATATTGGGTAGCAAAATTGAGAATGCTACCTTGATGGTTGACTTTGGATAGGGATGGAGTCTTGTTCAGGAACTGAACTAGCTCGTTGTCTGGTGCTGCTTGAATGATTATGATTCGAGCGTGAGAGCCGCGGTTCAGCACACGACCCATCTCTCGTAGCGCACCCGCGAGGTCATTCACAATATCGAGCTTCCAAGGTGCCAAAACGACATCAAACGTTCCAGATGGGAATGGTAAACGATCGATGGTGCCATCGTAAACCTCGAAATTCTGCTTTTTACCGCAGCCAGCTGCTACTAATTAGCGTTTATCGTTTTCAAAAAATGACTTGGAAGGCTAACCTCTGCCGATGGACCCCAAACAGAGAGTCTTATCGTCTTGAAGACCCCTAAGCAAGGCCTCCAAATCCTCGCTCACCATGTTATCTTTGAAGTGGTGACGAGCCGGCGTCGGCGCCTGCGTAGTACTTATCGATGGAAGAGGATATGGTCCCAAGAGAGGCTGTTCCTCTACCTTTTTCGCCATGAGAAGATGGTGAACCTCGGAGCTTTTGTGATCCGGATCATTTGGAATGAATGTATAGCAGACTTCAGACTCGACGCTCAAACCAGCCGATTGAAGCAACTTTCTCCATCCTTCTTCCGAAAAGAAAGTTTCGTTGGTGTACTTGTCCATCCAGGGCTTCCCCATTTGCCGCGCACATTCCCATGTTGAGTCATAGGTGAACTCATTTGCAGGCAGGCTTGTGCTGGGTGTCACTCCAACAATGACGTACCCGCCAGGTTTGACCCATTCTGCAAACTTGTAGGTCATTGATTGAGTTTCACCTGGGGTGATTTGGAACAAGGAAAGGATCACGAAGACAGCATCGAATTGAATTTCGGGGTTGAATTCTCTCATGTCTGCCTTTTGGAAAGTGCCTTGCACTTGAGACGAAGCGATCTTGACCATTTCCTGGGAGACGTCGATTCCGTGGACTTCATGACCTGCACTGGCAAGCGTATGTGCGACTGGTCTACCAGTTCCGCACCCAACGTCAAGAACGGTGGCCCCCTTTGGGAGTTTTTGAGCCGCGCTTCGCACGAAATCGCAAAGATTGGGGCTATCCGCAAAGGCATCTTCGTATCTCTTGCCGAGATAGTCAAACAGGGTCTCTGCGTTGAGTTCCATGTTGGGAAGAGATTGAATGTGCAAGCGTTTGGGTCGAAATGACGAGCCAAGAAAGATGATCAATGGCAAAAGGTGAGTTGGTAGTTAATTAGATGACACCCTTTTTTCGTATTAAATAACTTCCAATGCCCGCGAGGCTCTTAATCACATTACCAAAAAGAGTTTCGAGTGTGTCATACTTATTACCAGCTGACTACCAGCAAGTATCATATCCATGTAGACTTTGCTGATGTCTCTAAATTGTTTTTGAGCTCTGCATGTAACCATGCAGAATGCTGTTATTGGCATCCCTACAGTGCAGACTCACCGCTACTCAAAGAATGTATCCGATCGGTGAGATCTAGTTAGCTTTTGTGGCACATATCATATTTAAGATGGAGAGGTACTTGATATGCCAAGAATAAATTTCGCAAAGCTCGCAAAGCCCGAAATAGACTGCGACATCGCCCGTCCATGGGCGTTTCGACTCTTGGGGTACCCGCCCAAAGGCCGGAGGCCCATGGGGGTATACCCATGTGCCAAGGCTTATAAAAAGTCACCTAAAATGAATATATAAATTAGTAACATAGTAGAGTAAGTTACTCTTATTATATATATCCCCTTCAAAACTATGTTGTAATACAAGATGTCTAAAGATAGAGGAGCAAGAAGCATGCAAACAGTCCATTCCAGAGAGGTGTTTAAGCCTGGTCCCTTTCTCATTGAGAAATAGACCCTATTTAAATGGAAGGATTCAATATACCGTCTATTCATGCAGGAAACTCGACAGTTTTGAAACCACCTTGATTATAAGACTCTAGTATAACGATTACATTAGTTTCAAAGCCACTATATGAAGAATATAAAAATCAAATTTAAAAGTAGGTATAGAAGTGGGTAAATATAGAACCAGGGCTTTCTACATGCGAAATAGCGTGGTTTCTGATATGAGCTGAGAAACAATGCGTGTGCCTCGAGGGAAATCTGTTTGCGACTCCTACTGTATCGGCCTAGGCATCCACTCGTTCGGATCGAGTGTGTGGACTTTTGGAGAATTGCAGTATATAATGCGTATAAACATCTCATCCAGTCTCTGGATCGCCTGCTTCTATGGCTAAGAATGGATTCGGGTGTTACAGGCATGGCAGGTCCAATTGGTTCTACACCTAGAGCTTGAAGTGCGATGTATTGTCTTTCATGATACAGAGCGGTGATAAGAGAGAAATTTCCCACTAGATTTACAGCGGCTAATTCCATGTTCACTATAGGAGGTAGGCTTCTATCCACCGCGAAATCCGCAGACACGATGCATTTGGGCGAGAAAATCATCATGGTCGGTCTGATTATCCAAATTCGTTTTTTTTTTTTGGATTCTTCGTTATCGTTTCGTCTTTCATCTACGAATCTCAGCAAGGCCAACCTCATCCTCTTTACGAAAATCTGTGAACTGGAAACGAGGCCTAGTCGTCCTTTACTTTGCTAGTGGTTTGATCATGGTCCGTTGCATCTATCGGGTGGAAGAGTATGTTCAGGGACAAAAAGGCACATTGCAAAGCCATAAATACTATGCCTATATATTCGATGCCCTGCTTATGTTTCTGGTCTCCTTGGTCTTCATTATCCCCCATCCAAGTTAGTTTTTGTCACAGGGTGACTATGTTGGTATCATAAGAGCTAGCGAGGAATGAGATGTATTTTATAAGTTAATATCTCCTACGAGCCTGAGGACCCGCGCAGAAAATTAAGTTAAATAAAGTTTTATGACTTAAAATAGCCGGTGTGTTTGGTGCCCATTGGATCATTTTCACAGGATAACAAATTCTCGCTATTAAAGCAACTTCCCATACAATATATACTATAGATCAAAACTATGGAGGTTAAAATAACCCAAGAAATGGGAGATCGATTCGTAGTACACAGGGCTGGGTACTATCACCTACATGCGCAAATACCGACTCCTGGAGCAGAATTCAGTCGGCATGGAAGCATCTTCCAGATATCATTGGGTACATGGGTAGGACACAACATGTTCCTAAGACGGGAATACCGCGAGTTGATCTGGAGATTTTTGATTCAAGCACCGAGTGGAAGGCGTCTGCCATCTATGACTCCGACAATCTTCAAAAAAGAGGTGCAGCTACTATATTATGCTTTAGTTGGAGGAGCGTACTGACAATAACCCTTAGGATTTACATACAACTTTGTTGGTCCTGACAATCTGGATCTTCCTGGTGTCCATATGTCGCAGGGACTCCTTGCCCCAGATGGACCTAGCTACCAAGCACTGATCATTCCCAATGCCACACGTATCAACGACAAAGTGTTGTCCAAGTGCAAAGAATATGCTGAAGCCGGTCTCCCCATAATATTCATGGAAGCATCACCATATTCATTGCCGCGAGTTCCTAGCCAAAACGAAACCGTAACGGCGCTGAGAGCAAGATGCAAAGAGTCAGATCGCTTTCGCTCGGCTGATTTACAAACGGGTGGAGACATCAAACCTTGGAAGAACTTTGAAGATTGCCGCTTTGCCATCACTCTCGACTACATCACTTGCTGTGGAAAGGGTGCATTTCTCCTCGTATGCTAACAACCCAAAGCTCATGACTCTGTTGACGTGGAAGCGACCTGGAAATGCAACAGGGAGTTGTACCAAAAGGCGCTAAAAGTCCGGTGCGCTCTCGCTATGAAGTTTTGACGAAATGATTGCGATGTCTGGGCAGGCGAACGCATACAGTGAAGGATTTAGAGGAAGTTGAGGGCTGTTTGATATTATCCCGGAGGAAAGAGCTTAACACAAGAAACGGCTTAACACAAACATGGAACAAAGTACGAAAGCCCAATGACAGTCTGATTGTATGTATCTACCTAGTGTAAATCCAAAATAGCAATGTACAGGGCAAGACACCCGACCCGGGGGACCAAAAGCACAAGTATGTACAAAATGATCCATGCAGCCACAACCGACCCGCATGAAAAGATGCAAATTGGGGAAATAAGACCCGGGTATAGCGCGCGCCTCACAATTAGAATGAAAGATGTAAAAAGATCACCGGAAAAAAAGAATGGAACCCGAAATAAAGGCTGGGAATGCCGCAAAATGTAAGAGAAATAATGCTGAAATGCAAGAAATGCAGGAAATTAGAAAGAAATGCGATCAAACATATTCAACGAATGTCCAAACTAATGGGGATATGCACGAAACCCCAGATTGGATGATTTAGGCAGACATCCCATTGGCAGTAGCAGCTTGCTGGAGTACACGGGGCCAGCGGGAGATGAGCTCGACATCATCGAGGGCACCCTTTCCCTGGTTGCGAATGTACTGGGTGCTCGGGTCGATGCGTGGCTCGTAGTCCCAGACGGTGTGGGTACCTTTGATCAAAGCGGAGTAGACCAGACGGCGGCGACGCTGGGAGGTCAGTACATCCTGGTGGATCCTTTCCATATCCCAGCGCGCATGGGTTTCCTCGAGGAAGAATGCCAGAATTTTAGCTGGGTCGGTGGTGTTGGGCAATGCGAGCGGGAGCTTGGCGGGGCTCGGGGTGCGAGGAGGAGTATTCGAGGGGAAGGGGTAGTCTGCCGTGTTGGCACGCTGAGGGATTGGCGATGCGTGCGGGGTATCGTCTGGAGTGGGCAGGTTGACAGCTGAGGCTACGGCGGGTTTGGCTGCGATGGCTGCGCGAGTGGAGCTGGATGGGATATGTAGGCCGGCTGCGAGGTTGGTCCTCTCCTCTGGGTCGTTGACGAGATCGTAGAGCATAGGCGGGTCGATGGTCGAGTAGACGAACTTCCAGCGGCCGCGACGGATCATCATGAGAGGAGCTTGTGTGCCCTCTCCCATGTACTCGCCGTAGACGGTGTCGGTGCGGAGACCTTCGCCGCCGGTCAGATACGGCATGAGGGAAACACCGTCGAGGGGAAGCTCGGAGATGAGTTTGGCGCCTGCCAATTCAGCGAATGTTGGGAGGAGATCCATGGTGGAAACATTCTCGGATACGCGCTTTGGCGCGAAATGCTTGGGAGAGTGGACGAGGAAGGGAACGCGAGCCGAATTCTCGAACCAGGTCATCTTGTACCACAGACCGCGCTCGCCGAGCATGTCACCGTGATCACCGGTGAAAACAATGATAGTGTCATCGGCCAGACCAGTGTTTTCAAGAACACGGAGCAGCTTGCCGATGTTGGTATCAACGTATGTGCAGGCGGCATAGTAGGCGCGACGAGCAGCACGGATGCGCTCGTCAGGCATTTCCTTGTTGAACAAGTCGATACACTTGAGCACGCGCTGTGAGTGCGCATCCTGCTTGTCGTGGGGGATCGCTCCGTTCTTGGGCAAGGGGATCTCGACATCGTTGTACAGGTCCCAGAACTCCTTAGTCATGGCATAAGGGTCATGAGGGTGGGTCATGGAGACCGTCAAGCAGAAAGGTTGTTCGTTGCGCTGCCGAACATGGTCGTACAGGTATTGGGTTGACTTGTAAATTACTTCTTCGTCAAAATCCAATTGATTGGTGCGTACGACAGGGCCTGCCTCCATCACGGAAGACATGTTGTGATACCAGTCGGCACGGATATCCTACATTTTAATTAGTACGGGGTCGCAAAGGGTTCGTAAAATTGACGTACAGGTTCATCCCAATTGACGGACCAGCCGTAATCACCAGGGTAAATATCACTGGTCAGACGCTGTTCATAGCCGTGAAGCTGGTCCGGGCCGCAGAAGTGCATCTTTCCGGCCAAAGCTGTGTGGTATCCCTCCCGCCGCAGATAGTGGGCATATGTGGGGGTGTCCGCGGGCAGCTCCGCCGCGTTATCGTATGCTCCAATCTTGGAGGGCAGCTGGCCGCTGACCATTACAAAGCGCGATGGAGCACACAGTGGTGAGTTGCAGTAAGCCGAGTCAAAGACCACGCCGCCGTCGGCGAGGCGGTCTAGATTAGGGGTCTTGATGGGGGAATTCTTGTCATGCAGGGACAACAATGGCGCAGCCATTTGGTCCGCCATGATGTAGAGGATATTGGGCTTCTTGGTCGCCATGATGAATATTTGATTCAATGGCCAATAGAAGAAAGTGAAACTAAATTAGAGAAAAAGAAAGGAAAAGAAAAGGGTGGGAGAGTGGATGATATATGGAGTTGAGGAAGAATGTGGGGAATAAAGGAGGGAAAAAAAGAGATAAAAAAAAAAATCCAAAAGGGGAAGAAAACGAGAGAAGTCCAAAGAGCTAGAGATCGGGGCAAAGCCGAACACATGAAGGCCAAGACGCAAAAAGGTATTGAATGTAATTTCCCGATACATAGCAGATAATCTCCTACGAATCTTCCTATTCGACCATTATAAACCCTGCAGAATGTACATCTCCCAAATTAGTATACAGTTAGTTCCCGCCTGCAACGGAGATCAGGGGAGATGATCCGGTACTGACGTACTCCCCGCAAGATGGGATCATTCGCAACATCGATGGTGTGATTGAAAGAATTCGTATGGTAATGTATATAATACAGAACTAGATGTTCTCTGCTACTCCGAGTCTTGATGAACATAGTTTTCTCCCTCGCTGCACAATTAGATTTTCGTTATCTCTATTAGCAATAATCAGATTGCAAATGCAAAAGTCCAATCACAAGACTAGTGATTTTTTATCGATTGTAGGCAATTTAATCCCATCGGGACCAGTGCCGAGTCGCCACTTACAGGCACTATGGGGGTCGCGTGTGGTCCAGTTGCATCTGTCACATTGGGGAAATTCACAATACCACCACAATACCAAGCGTGCATGTAAAACCAGAACCCATCTCAGCCCCTTGAACGCCATAATATTAAATAAAGTGTATCAAGTTCAAGTCGGGGGTTTTAGTACAAAGTCTATATTCAGTGCAGTTCACACACGCACTCGACCCCGGAGTGGATAACGGCATCGATAGCCCATGCCCATGACGGCGTTTCCAGTGTGACAGGATCTTGTATACACTAACCTATTTCAGTCTAGTGAGTCCCGAAGCCAGCCACTAGTCAAACTTTGGGCTCCATGGGATCGTGTCATTACCGTCGTAACCAATCAATTCAATCCCTTTTTCTTTGGGATAACCCAACAAGGTTAGAGGCGAGGCTTAGGGGCTGAAGTTCCACTTGCTTATCTTAACGACCAATCAAACCGCACTATTTGACACTACGGGGGAGGAAAAAGAGACGTCGTGAGGATCTAAGAACAACGATGGAGCCCGCCGGTGGGACACATTTCCTCTTGGCTTTTTCTATTTTTCTTCTATTGCTTCCAGCCGTTTTCATAAAGAAACCAGGAAGGAAACAAGGGGAGCGAGTGTAATGTATCATAGCTCCACAATGAGCAATCTCCCTTTCCTAGCACGCCATGAGAAGCGGTCTAAGATCATCCCCGGACTTACAATGCTTACGTACTTTGGAGGCGAAACACAGTCACCGCTGTTTCTTAGCATGGGACTACTTCCACCTCCAAATCGACCTGCATTTATCTTGTGTGCACGGTGATTGCCATATGTCCGAGTTGCTCCACATGGCCACGTCTACATCGACGTACAGATCTCCAAGTCACACGGGATCGTTTCACCCGATGTAGACTGATGATATACATGATCATATTCTTTACAGAGTAGTGTAGTGATCAGGACTTTTTCTCGAGGCGTATAACAAGTCGCTTTTTTTTAAAAAAAAAAAAATGGGGTTTCCCACGAGGGCTATGATGTACAAATAATCCCTGCCGGAAAAACACCTGCGTTCTCGTGATGAAATACTACTGTGGATATCAATCATCTACAATGACTTGAGATACATAGTCTACGTACGCTACTTAGGGAATCTCGTGTCTGTGGAAATGCCAGATGTCTACTTGCCCGAAGGCTTCTAGCTGAGATCAGACCTTTTTCGGTGCCTATAAAGGGAATCTCTCATTTTCTGTTCCTAATCCTCCCTCGGCTGTCCGAGAACATCTGATGTCGAAAATCCACCTCCGGCTGATAACCGCATCTTGACCTCCTCTGTGTGGGCAAAACAGCCAGTGTCTTTGCAGCCCGTCCTAAATACACCTTTTTGCATCCTCTTCCTCAAAACTGATGTTATCACTCGCAAAACTTCTTCTCACGACCTCAACCTCGGCAATCCTTTATACCCCAATCATTCTGAGGCTCATGCCACCGGGGTTCATGCCAAGGCTCGTCATCATCACGTATCGAATATTCCCATGGCACCCCCGGGAATTTCCAACCTTGATCGTACCATTCTTGAGCTGCCGCCTCATAGTCGTGTAGATTCTCGGCTCGTCGACGTTCCTCTTGGACAACCCAAGGCTCGAAGGGGCGATAGTTCTTGAGGTAGGGCGCCCGGACTTTTAACGAAGGTGGTCTCCATTCCGGGTCAATTTTGCCATCTATCTTTGGGATCTCCAGATTCAAGACCTCATTGCGCCACATCTGGCAGTATCTTGGGCTGTAGATGTGCTTGAATGGGAGGTGCGTGATGAAGTGGTTCGCGAGGTCTCGGCAGGCGAGCGCATCCTCGAGGCTGTCATGGCCGTGGCCTTGCTGGATCTTGCGATTCAGGATGTCGTTGGCGTTCTCCTTCAAGGAAGCTTCGGCGAAGAGCATGGTATCGACAATTCGGCGGTGAATAATTCGCAGGGCCAACATGTCTGCTCGGCCACCGTGGAGGACGAGGACGGTGCTGGGGCCGATGTACCGGAACAACGCTTCACGGGCTGCATCTCGGCCGTCGAGTTCTTCACCCCGAGCCTTGGCTGCGTACAGCATGTCCCAGCTGACACCGGAAAAGCGGAGGTTGGTGTGCCACATCCGAACTTTGGGGAAGACCAACTTGTTTATCAAGATCTCCCCGGTAAAGTAGTCAATGGCGCTGATCCGGATGAGTTCCTGTTCACCCAGGTCGGTGATTCCCATCTCACAGTCGAGGGCGATGGCAAAGCGGTAATCTGCAGGTTTTTGTGGGGCCTCGTGTAGCTCCCAGTTGCATTTCCACGCCTTCTCGTTTTCAATGATCTGGTGGGATTTGAACTGATGACAAGGGCGGGAAAAAATGCCCTTCTTGCAGCAAGTGAATACCTACATGGTGATGTTAGGTTAGCCATGTTTGATCAACGGATAAGTGAAAGATTCCCAATGTTGATTTTGAGAACCCATGCTATTATACAGAAAAGTGGGCTAAGTCTCAACATATCATGAGCATTTGAAAAAGAAAATAAAGACCACTTACCTGCCACTTGCCGACTGGCTTTCCCGGATGTCCCCAGCAGCCGTACTTGACCTCGCGCTTGACCTCCTTCGCAGCTCGTCGTTTGTGCCATTTAGCGATCATGTCGGTAGTCCAGTAGATCTTGCCGATGCACTCCTCAGTCAACTCGTCAATGATGTCCTCCTTAAATTCTCCGACCTTGGGCGGTTCTTCTGGCCGTTGCTCAGCGCGTGTTGCCTGGACTTCTGCATGATTGCGGATTGTCGATTCGCTTGCCAGAAGTTGGTGTCGTCTCTGACCCCACATTGCAACTAAAAAGATAACCGTCAAACTCAATCCTGTGTTTAAGGGAGGAAAGGATAACATACATCGACATTGCTTGCAACGTTCCTTATATGATGAGGACATCTGCGACATTTGATAGCCACGAGTGGCCTCTGGGAGAATTGCCCGATCCCAGAGGCGAGTCCAGTAATCCTCGGTCCAGACAATTTGAGGGAAGTCAGGGAAAGGGCCCAAGTTCGGGTCATTAGGCTCAAAGCGCCTGGTCCGCCGTGTCCAGCACGGCGGCTCGACCTTGATAAACTTCTTGACTTCGCTATGCCAAAGAAGGTCAATGTCATCCAGGTGATAGGAGTTCAGGGTAAACCTGTTCTCGGGGTCTACCCCCTTTTGGTGTCCGTCAGACGACATCTCAAATATGAAAAGGCGTCAAACGAAAGATAAACGAAAGATCTGCTAGTCAGCGAATGAGTAAGAGAGTGAACAAGAACTTAGGGGAAACAGTAGTTGGACTCTTTATATCATCGGTCAATGGTGGCTCTTGTCCGCTTATTGAATAGCTAGGCATCAGGGACCATAATGTGAATCCCGGAATGACACCGCTGCCATTGGGGTGAACATTGAATGAAACAGTGATTGAGGTCATTGGTATAGGCGTTCGGGGAATGAACAGCCAGGCATCGAGAATCATGACGTGAATCCCCGAACAATACCACTGTGTTTGACTGTGAAGGAATGGGTGAACGTTGAGGGAAACAATGAATCGTTGCCTGACCGAAGGATCTGAGTCACGCTCTGCAAACAACAAAGCGATCACGGCTCCTAGGCCCTAAATGGGAGGTAACGAGAATGGGAGGCAACGAGAATGGGAGGCAACGAGAATGGGAGGCAACGGTGATCTCGAGTGGACTTACTGTGATGGAAGTACTATGTGTTGCTCAGCGATCCAAAGCTCAAAGGAAGTCTCGAGGCTCGAAGTTGTTGAAGAAGTTGAAGGATGAGAACGGAGGAAGGAGAGATCAAGCACCGAGGAGATTATTTATACAAAGGATCAAGGGGTAGATCAAGGAATAGGAAGCAAACGTTTGACTGAAATTAAGAACGTGAACGTGAAATGACGGGTGTTTTCCTAGTGCATTATTCTACTTACTTGCTTCACATGAAGCTCAATATCTCCAGGATGTGATAACTTAACTCGAACTAAAGCAGCCAGTCTTGGGTATTCGTTCTAGCACATAACTTGCCTCGTAGGGTATGCTCATGGATGCAGATCGCAAGACGAGTTGAATATTGGCTTTACAAGACGTTGATATTCCAGGTGAAACTTGGTTCTCGGATTTGGGTGACATAGCAATACATTGGGACTGATGGAACTGGTGAGTACTGGAATTTTCGCGTATGTTTGTAACGAAAGCATATCTGCCTTGGGCGAACCTATACGAAATATAAAAACCCAGCGCAAGATAAGAGGCCCTCACCAAGGCATCGGATAGAAATACTAGCTTACTAGGCACGGGTAAGAAGCAAGGAAAGAGAAAGAATGGCATGTGCTTGTGTTCAATAGAGACGAGGGAAGCAAAGGCTCAGAATTTCGGACGGCCAGAAAATGCAGAAAATAGAACACTATACGCCTTGGTGGTAGATGACTTCACCTATGCTTATCGGAAAGATCAGATCATGAAGAGGTAGATGTTGAAGAGACGAGGAGTCCCTGGATTGAAGAGGTGAAAATAAAAGGATAGTGCAGTTATGTCAACGTTCAATCGACCTTGATGGCACTGTCAAATTTTCAAGATTAGCCTGTTGCCTATCAAATTCAGTTGCCTATCAAATTCAGTGGAGTTATCTTACCTATAAACACGCCGGACGAACGCATAAGCGGCCAAGAAACCAACAGTTCCAGTTAACAGGCCATACACAGCGCATGCGAGGAAGCTGTAGCTGAAGAACAGCAGGCCTGACACGAACCCGGCAATGTGGAGCTTGAACATGTAATACCAGATGCAGTAAGCGAAAATCCAAAAAGCGCTACTGCCGCCGGTGAGGAAGCTCTGCCACCACCAATGATAATTCTAAGGAAGTCAGCATGGTAATTCATAACCTAAGCGAATAACAGACTTACCTCGGAGCAGAGTTGGCTGTATGTTGCGATCACGGTCACCTCAACGACCGTGACAATCAGCACGGTTGAGACTACACTCAGGAAGCCGAAGACATAGTAATAGCCAGACTTGTCCTGCCACAAGTTCTTGAAAAGGAATAACAGCTCAATAAAAAGAACCGCAAATGGAATGAGGCCAGTTACCACAGGACCGAGAGGGCTGCGGAGATACCAGGGCTGGGGTGGAACTTGGCGGGCAATCGCATTCGTCTTGAGAGGGTGCTCCCATGGCGATGCGCGTACAAAGCCCACCCAACTGCCAATGTATACCAGCGGAACTTGGATGAGGAGCCAAAGTGCAAGGAGGCCAACCAGAGTGCTGAAAGGAATTGCCGTACTGGATGCTTGAGCCCAGACAAACAAGTTCAAAATCAACACGAGGCAGAATGCCAGACCAGGGAAGAGCAAAGCGGTCTAAAATCGTAAATTAGTACAGCACATAATCAAATGGAGCAGGATACGCACGATTAGCGTGTTCTTGCGCCAGGCGGTTCCGTTAAAGGTCTTGTAAAGTCTGCCTGAGAAGTAGCCGGAGAACAGGCCAGCAAAGATGAACAGGCCCATGCCGACGCTAACAAAGCCACCACGAAAGCTTGGGTTCAAGATACCCAGGCAGCTGAGAAGGAGCAAGCCTGAAGCCATGAATAGCAATTGCATTCCCGATCCAACCAAGGGGGCAAGAAGACCACTATAAGCGGGTGTACGGAACACATCCCCATGGAGAAGCTTCCAACCGCTTGTATCTTCGAGAGCCTCATCGTCCGAGGAGTAAACCGCATCGCGCTCCACATCTGCGCTATCGTCCAGAAGGCCCTCGCCTTTCTTCTCACCAGACTTGCCACTTCGGCGTCGAGATTGGCCCTTCGTCTTCCGATCGTCCATAGCACCATCGCCGCGACCCTTAAGGTCGCCTTGCACTGTGCGGCTCCAGATAACGAACACGGTCACCCCGAGCACGGTGCAAATTGTCAACGAGTTGATGATCGCTAGCCAATGGGTTACCGAACTTTCGCCTTGGTTGGTAAAGTATAAATCCCAGCGGTTGGCCCACTCAACCGTGGTGTCCTCTCGGAAGTAGACAGAGTATGTGTAAGGAACCTTGAGTGTGGTCCCATCATCATCCTCGTCATCGTCTGGGATATAGGACAGTCCGGAATACTTTTCTTGCATTCGCGAAAGGTTAGGGGCGATATACAACCCCAGTCCTTCGTTGTTATTGTGGAGAGATTTAGGGCATCCATTTTCCAAGCGGTCCTCGGCGGTGATACTTTTTGGGTACACCTCAAATCCTACGACCACCTTCCCTCCTTCCGGTGCGCTCCGCCAGCGGATGACGATCGTGAAGTGGTTGTTGATGAAATACCGATGCTGTCCGGTGACTGGGGAGATGTCTCGGTAGCCAAGCTTGAATCCCGAAGCGTAATATTTGCGGCTTCGATCCACTGTCACAAAGCTCGTGGCTCCTGGTAGATTATCGGCAATCCATTCGATCACATATCCCTCCTTGACGAGCTGACGGGCCCATTTCACATCTGACCGACTAAGTTCACGGGTGCAGAGCGACTGACACTCCACATCCTTCCCCATCGCAAGTTCGAAGTCAGAGGTCATGATTCGGTCCCCACGTAGTATCTCTCCGATATTGAGCGAGATGCTTCGGCCGGATCCAAACGGGGAGCCGCCATGTGTTTTGCCGCTCGGCGGGCATACGAAAGGCAGGTCGAAATAGGCATACTGCAGCTGGGTGTGATCGGAGAAGATCTTGTTCACGAGAAGGGAAATCGGGTCATTGTCGTTATATCGGGTAACGGAGTATCCTGGTGAGAGTGAAGGTGTAAGGATCATATGCTTTGTCCAACCAAAACACGATTTGGTGCTTACCAGGGATGTAGAATGCGCTGGCACAGGACACGAGTAGCAGCACCCACAGCGCCCACTGACGGGAACAGAATTGACCGAATGCCATGTTCAATAGACGTAAAGAGATCTGTTTTGTTCTTGACCCGGAGTAAACGGGTAGCTATCGAACCAGCATGGACACAGAGTATAGTGGAGGGTTGTACGCCACCGGTCGGTGGATTACAGTGTGTTGATCCGCAAAGGTTAAATCGAAGTGAGCGAGCCAATAATGACTATGTTGTAGGTATTATCTCGTTCAGGCGATTGTTTGCGGAGATGATCGATGGACCGTCGGTGGACTTGATATTGGAAGGGCGTGTTGGATGATAGATTGCCAATCACCGGGTTGGTTCAGTTCGTCTGCAACCTGCCGAGGGACAAGTAATTAACGAATGAAACTGGCACTTAATGCCACAGCGATATAAGTGTGTCGAGAAAGGTGACCAACTGTGGAGAGCTTCTAATACGTAGTTAGCGTTCACGCTTCCCTGACCTCTTGTCCCCGGATTACATCAGCATGCCACGCGTACCTGTAGGACCGTATGCGGACAAAGGGACGAAAGCGATGGTCAAATTCAATGTTCGCATATCTCTGAGAGAATACTTGTAAACCCTGTATACAATCTCCTCGAATTATCAATGAGCACAAAAAATTGGAATCCTAGATTTACTGTCCGATATATATACGGAGTACCATGCTTTAATACCATACCTTCTGGAGATCTAAATTGCACGCGCCAAGAGCATTAGAATCCAATCATTTAACAGAAGTCAAATAAGCTATTCCCTAGTGTCCTCGACTCCAACTTCTGATCATTCTCAAACTCCTTGGCTTTCCACTGCGAAAAAGCCTGTCATGGACTATCAAAGAGGGAGATATCCCATAACCCTGCCAAACCCCATCACAACTACGCAACGGCCAAGATTAGACGCATTCGTCCCGAGGCTACAGGGAGTCGCAACCGGTGGGTTAATCGGAGAGATCGTCGATCTTCAATGTCTGACTGGCGAGACGCGACCGCTTGGGGAAATCCTGTCAATTACATGTAAAGACTCAAGATGATCGTGCTACTGTGCTTTAATTAATAATATAGAAATTAGCGAATACCCCTACTCTTAATATTCATGGTTTAATATGTTGTAGTTGAAACTTGACCTCTGGCTCTGGCCCAAAACTCTCATACGGCCGTTTAGAACCATAGCTGGGAGTGAATATAGGACTTTAGGGAGTTTTAAGGGCTTTTACTTTTAACTTAAAAAGTAATTAGCAAATTTTCCCATCAAAAATGGGAAGAGCAGTCATATATATGTAGTCACTACGTATATAGAGCCTTCTTCTGCCCTTTCTAAT